CACGGCAAAAAGAACGAACTCAAAGCCTGATCAAATACCCGCTTTCTTCTTTCCTATACATGATTTCCGTAAAGGGATAGGACGGTCACGGACTATTAGTGTTTTTAGGGGGGGGATGTGAATAGTTCATAGAATAGGACAAGATAGATAGTCTTGATGGAAGAAAAAAAAAAAAAAAAAGCGTAGGGTATATAGATAGCTGAAGTTGAAGCTGTACTATAGCATAATTGTTGAAGAATGAGGGATATCATGGCGTACAGAGGACAACACAGGACCAGAAACAACAAACAACAACAACAAACACAACCACAACTCAGTCAAGCCTGCTTGGTATCAATTCATTATTCTTATTCAATTACGAAAAAGGCCTTCCTTATTTGCCCTCTTGACACACACAACAACTCTAATTTACACAAACAATGCAATGCAGCCCAAAATTCTGCGCGCACACGGCATAGCCCCTAGGTAACTAACTAAGCTCACAGAGTTTATACAGACATGATGATGATGAATTTCCCCAAGAACGCCAGGCTCCCGGCTCTGCCTCTACACTTTCTTTCTGCCTCTGCCTCTGCCTGCATCTGCATCTGCAGTTTCAGAACAGGACAGGACAGTGTGTGTGTAGCGGGGAAAGATTGATGATGATGATGATGATGATGATAAGATAGGATATTTCATATATGTATTCGCCCCAACTCCGTATGTTTTCTCGCGTCGTATTTTCTCGCGCGTTTCTCGAAAGTCTCAAGTCAAGTCACCCCGCGGGATGCTGCTGCTGCTATGCTATATCCTGAATTCCGGGTCGTATAGCTCCGGAGATTCTGTGTGTGTGTGTGCGCCTCATTATAACAAATCGTCTACCCATCCGAGCTTATCTCTGTTGTCGTCCCCTAACCTCGCGTATTCCAGTAATAATCGGAGCACGTAGATCTGCATGTCCTCCTTTCGGAGCACCTTATTGGCCCACTCCTGGCCCGCGAGCGCAATCTTGCCCGCCTGGTCGTCGTGGCCCGGCACTTTGATGTCCTCGCCCTCGTAGCCAAGGAAATACTCCATGATGCCGTAGAAGTCCATGAAGCGGTTGTCCATCGGTACGAAGTGTTTCCACGGCACCAATCGGCTGTCGTGCCATTCGCGGAAGATCGTGGCCTTGATGGGCAGCGAGGTGGACATCAGGAAGCCGCGGTAGCGGCCGGAGAAGGAATTTCCGTCGATGTCGGGAACGTATTTCCGGTCGAACTGGTCGCTCATCTTCATGCCCGGCACGATCTCAAAGTAGGGGGACGTGTAGCTGCAGGTCCCGGTCGTCTCGGGGGGGTTGCACGACAGGTCCACAAACCCGGTATTTGACCACTTGCTGGTCCACTCCCCCAGCTTATTCTCTTGTTGCGCAGCCAAGTTGTATAACGAGGGCGGCATGGCCCAATTCTCTGGGATATGCTCCCATGACTCTGCGCCGGAGATCTTGGTTCCGTTGGTCATGGCGACGAATCGGTGGCGCTGGAATCCTTTCCAGTTCGTCGCCGTGTTGAGTCCACCAGTTGCGACCCCTCGCCAGACCACCTCATCCATCTTGTGTTCCCAAGGCTCGCCATGGTCATCACCACCGGAGAAACGCTCTTCGTTGCTCCAGTACATCGGTGGAGGGAGGAGGATCTCGTTATTCGTGGGGAGTTTCGAACCGCCGAAGATAGGGAACATGGTCTTGGTCGCGGAGACGGAGAGTGGCGCAATCATCATCCCATGGAGGGATTGGAGATCGGGCTGGTGGCAGAAATCGGTAGAGAGGGAGTAATTCGAGACGTAGCCTTTGTAGGTATGCGGTAGGGTATGCGCGAGGGATATCACAGGAGTGTGGTCAAAATCGGACATGGTCTCCGCCTGGCGAGCAAGACTGTCGGGGTGACAGCCTCGGGAGGCGACCTGCCAGAAAGGCCCTGGGGAGGGTCAGCAGAGGAGCAGCAACGGACCTATTCCAATACTTACTCGTATCCTCCCACTCCTTATCCCGCGTCTTCACCTCCCTGTCCAACTCGCCAGGTAATGCAAGATGTTGAAATTCGGAGATGACTTCATGCGCCGGCGCCATGACCCGCGTCTTGCGCTCCGTCTCCATATAGCGATTGATGTCTTCCCACGGCGCCACCACCCGAGGTTCATCCATGGCATTCAGCGCGATGTCCATGTCCGGCAACATGTGCTCGATCGTCTTGGTGAGGTTCAGCCAGATCTGGGTCCAGAACCACTCGCTGCCGGTGGAGGCGGTGTGATTTCGAATATTGATGGTCATCTCGTAATCCCAGGCCTCCTTCCGCATGGTGGAGGGAGGGAGGCCCCAGAAGGGACCCAGGTCATGGTAGATCTGGTCGAAGAAATCCTCGACCATGACGGCGCCATTGTCCTGCGCAAACTTGAACCAGACGTCGAAGCCGGGCGGGGGGTGGCGTCCTCTCCGCTCGCGGTAGACGGCGGCGGCGGTCTTGAGGTCGTGGCTCTCCTTCTTCAGCAGGTCGTCGAAGGTCTTCTCGGCGGCTTCGATCAGGGTGTCGATGGGGTGCGGCGGTGCTTTGGGTTTGGCCACGGGCGGCTGCTCCTCCTCCACGGCGGGTTCCTCGACGGCGGGGGGCGGCACATCCACGACTACGACTGGTTCCTTGACCTCCTCGACCGGTGGTTCGACTGGAGGCGGCGGGTCAACGGGGGCCGGCGTCTGGGGTATGGGGTTTTCTGGGGTCGGCGGCGCACCTTCGAGGGGCGGGTCAGGCTTGGGATCGATATCGATCCTGAAGGGCGAAGTCAAGCCGGCGTTCTGGGCGCTGTGGCGGAAGTAGAGGAGGACGGAGAGGAGGGCGAGGGCGAGCAGGCTGTAGCGCACCACACCGGCGGTCCGGCGTGGCGGACCCGGATAGGCCATGAGGATGGGCGACGATATCTTCATGGAAGAAGAGAGGGCGCGCGGGGGAGAGCGTCGTTCGACGGAAGCATTCGAGCCAGAGGTTTTAAGGGTTTGCGAGGGGTTTGTTGTTGTTGTTGTTGTTGTTGTTGTTGATCTCGTTCGTTCGTTGAGGGCGTTCAGGGCGCGGGAGGGGGACCGTTTCAAATCAGGATCGATGATGATGATGATGATGATTACACGTAGAGAGACAGAGGGGACGTGTAGGACGAGTCATGGACGATCGAGGACAACCGGGGGGGGGAGGGTTTCGAGGGGGCTATAGCACAGCGAGGACCCGTTGGAGCATCATGATTGAAGAAGATGAATTGCGATTGATTGAGAGAATTCGTGAGGACAAGAAGAGAAGAGGATCAACAGGATCGAAAAGGGATCAAAAGGATCGAGGAGGATTGATGGATCATGGGGGTTGCTTATGTAAGCGTGGGACAGACAATGTACCAGCCTCTCGGTCGAACGAACGAACGATTGAACTGATTTGAACGATTGAACGAACGATGAACGAACGAATGATCCAGGAGTCCCCACATGGGCGGGAGAGGCTTCATATAAGACGACGGGATGGATGGATATCTGATAACCTTGATATCTCAGGATTAATTAATTGAATAAAACTTCATAACATCATACTTACTTCATACTTCATACTTCCCATCCCGCATCTCAAAAAATCAGGGTCCTCCTCTCTGCATCTTCCCTCCCTCCCTCCATCCCTCTCCCTCTCTCTCTCTCTTGTCTTCCCGTCCCGTCCCTCCCCGTCCCTCCCCTCCCCTCCTCTCCGACACTTCTTCTTAGCAGTTAGTTATAAGAATAGAAACAATAGACCATCTCACACCCGATCTTCTTTGACAGAAGCTTGATTTTTCTTCAGAATCCTAAATGCCAAACTCCCATCATTATTACTATTTATTACGATAATAATAGTTTCCTAGTATTTAAGGTATTTATCATGATTATGAATTTTATGAATATATCAACTGCTAATGCAAGCCACCGCCCGCACCGCCCGCACCCGGCCGTATAAACTTATGCATGAAGCCACGTCTCGTCTCTCCTCCCGTCATCTTCTAATCTCTAATCTCATCTCATCTAACTCATCTATCGCCATCTCATCTCATCTCACTCTTACTCTTACTCACAACCCTCCCTCTCCCTCATACACATAACCTCCTCAACCCAATCCAACCCACACTTCCCTCCCCTCCTCCCCTCCTCCTCCCAGCCACCCATCCATCAAACCCCCCCAAAAAATCCCGTTCCACAGAAGTCCAAAGATCGGCATTCATCCGTTGTTTCACCCAAATGGCGATAAACGTTGGTTAGCGGCGCGATCGGCGGGGGACGGGGTTTGGTTTGGTGTCACTGTCACGTGAGATATGATGTGTTCATCCTTTTTTTTGGTTTTTTTGGGTTTGACGTTTTTGATGCTTTTTTTAGGGGATTCGAGTTGATTCGGATTGGTTTGGGGATTTTGGGGGTGGTGATGGTGATGTTAGTGGTGTCTTACTTACAGGTAGAGTAGCCTATTTGACATAGATGAGAGTTATTTTTAGATGGCCGCGGCGAGGGAGGGATACGAACATACGAACATACGAAGCACCTACCTAAGAGACCAAGATACCAAGATACCAAGATCAATACGAATTAATGATACACTTGATACATGGATTGATTGGTCGACACATAACATGCCCGGAAAAGCAATTTTCGCATCTTTTCATTGAATAGGTAAGGTAGGTAGCTCCAGAACCGCTCCGCTCCCAGCTGCTCACGCCTTGCTGTATCCCCATCATCAAATAGAGAATCAATTGTAAGAAGAAACACCAAAGAAACACCTCCTTTCCTAGCCTAGTCCAAACCCAACCCAACCCAATCCATCCATTCCATCCATCCATCCATCCATCCATTACCTGAAACGCCTTTCTTTCTTTCTTTTTCTCTCTTCTGCCTTTCATCACCGCGTCTTATTCCTCTCCAACTCCCTAACCAGCTCCGCATTCTCGCGCGCCTTCTCCTCCAGCCGCTGCAGCGCATTACTCCGATCCAGCGCCCGCGCCTCCCGCTCCGCCTTCAGTTTGTACTCCATCTGGTGGAGCCGCACCTGCCACTGGAGTTCCGCGTCGTACTTCTCGTCCGGCGCGTCCGCCGCGGCGGCAGCGGCGGCAGCGGCGGCCGCGCTCGCACTCCCGCTCGCGCTACCACGGCTGCGAGCCCGGGAGCTGCTGGCCCGCTGCGCCGTCTCGAGCGCCGTCAAGGAGTGGTGCCGCGTGCTCGTGGTCGAGGAGGAGGAGCGGGTTTTGTCGACGACGAGCCGGTGGCGCGGGCCCGTGGGGACGGATGGCGAGGGGGAGGACGGGTCGGTGCTGTAGACGCCGGCGCGGACCTCGTGCGCGGCGCGGAGCGTGCTGATCTCGACCTTGAGGGCGCGGTTGGCCTCGCGCAGCTTCTCGATCTCGCGCTTGCCGTCGCCGCTGGTGCTGGGGACGGCGCTACGGGCCATGGTCTCGAGACGGTCGAGGCGCTTGGTGCGGAGCTCGAGGTTGCTTTCGAGCGTCTGGTATTCTTTCCAGAGGTCGCGCTCGACGTTGCGGATGCGGGATCGGAAGTGCTCAACGAGGCCTTCGAGCGTCTTCACGGCCGCAAGGAGATTCTTGGAGAAGCCGGGAAACATCGTAGACACGACTTCGAGCGTCGGGACGGCCCGGCCGTTGATCAGTGTGTTATTGTTCACCCAGTCTTTGCCACAGAGGGCACTGATGTGGCCCCAGAGGTGTAAGAGGAGGATGTTCCGCTCCGTCAGCTGGTCCTTGAACGAGTTCTCAAGAGCGGTGAGCCTGCGGCGGTCTTGCTGGCGGTAGGCCTCAAGCTCCTGGACGCGGGCTTCCTGTTGAGATAAGGTGCGCGAGGTATGCTGTTGCGTTTTCTTGAACGTCTCGAATTGGTGTTTGGTATTCCGGTGGGCTTGCCGTTCTTTATCGAGGATCTCCGCCAGCTTTCTAGATTCCAGACCATGTGATTCAAGCAACTCATCCCGCTGTTTGATGAGGCGTTCCTTCTCAGCAAGAGCATTCTTCGTAGTATCGAGATCGCGGATCGTGTTCTCGAGCTCCCGCTGGAGCTTGGCAATAGACTGCACATACATTAACGGTGAGCCAAACGTGAATTCTGGGTGATTGTGATTTACGCTGAGTAGGCTGGCGCGGGTGCCGTCGAGATCACCCAGTGCCTCTCGGAGGTTGCTCTCGAGCTCCATCAACCTCTGCTTCCATTCCGCCGCCTCCACCTCCCTAGATGTCAAGCTCTTGCGTAGTCGGCGAGCCTCGTCCTTGGCGGTCGATGCCTCCCGGTTGAGATCGTTGACGAATTGCTGAATCTCTTGCTTCTCCTTGTTAGCCACGACTTCTCGTTGGTGCCGTTCGCTAGCCAGCCGTTGCTCGAGTTCTCTCGCGCGGTCTCGCTCCTCCTGCAGACTCTGCTCAGTGTTCGAGATGGCGGCCTCCAGATCACCAATCTTGATCTTGTCGGCATCCTGCTCTTCTCGCAGGAAAGCAATCTCGCTCTGGCTCGACTCCTGCTGCACAGTAAGACGGCTATTCTTCTCATTCGCTTCCACGAGATTCTTCTCCATCTGCTCCAGCTCTCTATTGGCTTCTTCCAGATCTCTCTCAAGATCCTTGATCCGTCCCATTTTACTTTCGTGATCATCTTCCAGCCTTACTACCCCTTCACTCATCTCCCGCATCTCATTCTGCAGAGCATGGAAGTTCTCCGTGGCGTCCGCCAGCTCGTGCTGTAGACGTTCGATCTCGGCGTTCGCTTCCTCCGTCTCAACAGCAAACCCATCGAGTTCCTCCTGGGCCTCCTTTCGCAGTGCCTCGAACATAATCTCAGCCTCTTCCTGCCCCTTCAAGGCTTCATCCCTATCGGCTTGCATGGTGAGCAAGTCAGCCTCCGCAGCCGCCAGGGCATCTTGCAACTCAGCGGCCAGGGCCTCCGTTTGCGTCTTCTGCTCAACCGCGACCTCGAAATCCTCCATGCAGGAAGAGAGCTCCCGCTGGAGATCCTGGTTATGGATCTTCAGGCTATTGATCCGATCGCGAAGCTCGGCATGCTTGTTCTCGAAATCCTCGCGCTCGGCCTCCGTCATGTTGGTCTGCCGCGTGTCCGCGCTCGTCCGCGACAGCGAGCGCCCGTGAGCTCGCGAGGCGGATCTTTCGATGATGCTATCGCCACTGGATCCGGCCCGGCGCTGGACCAGCTTGAGGTCCTCGATTTCTTGGTAGAGGCGCTCCTTTTCGCGATTCCGAGAGGTGAGCATCGAGGTTTGTGCGCCGACTTCACGTCTTAGCTCGGCGTTCTCGTGCCTTAGTTGCTCGCTTTCCCTCCTCAACTCCTCCACCAGAGTACTCGCAGCACTCATTGTGCCATTTCTTTCATCCGTATGCTCCGACAGACCTGACCGTGGACGCGATAGCGAGCCCGCACGCTTCTTCGTGATGTTGTATATATTGGTGGTGTGGTTCAGTCCTTGGATACTAGAGCTCGACGCCGTCTCGCTCTTCAGACGGAAGATCTCCTCGCGGAGCTTCTTGATCTCCTCATCGCCTTGCTCTCTGCGGGCAGTCTCCTGCTCTAGAAGGTCCTTCCACACGTCCACCTCCTCGCGGGCTCCAAGATTCAGACCATGCCTCTCGCCCATGGAGCGCACGGCCTCGGCAAGATTGCGCTTTTCGTTCTCCCGCTGGATGCTGTCGTTGCGAAGCCTCTCGATTTCCGTCACGTACTCCTCTACCTTCTCGCGGAGGTACCAGAGCTCCTCTTCCCGCTCCTGGGCCTCCTGATCGAACCATTTCGGACTCGTGGCGCTGGTAGAAGTGCTGGATTTGGCAGTCCCGGGTCTCCCTTCGTCGTCCTGAAGCTGCTTTTCAAGCTCTTTGACTTTCCGCTTCAGGGCCTTGTTATCCCTCTGCATCACGGCAAGTCCAGTCTTCAGCTCCACATTCTCTGAGATCATCTCTTTCACCCCTTCCTCGGAGAGCTTGTCAAGCCTGTCGCTCAAGAACATGACCTTGAGCTTCAGATCAAAGTTCTCCTTTGACAGCCTCTCTATGGTACTACTCTGCTCTTTCAGGGTAAGGTTTCTCCCATTCCGCCCAATGCCCGAACCAACAAGCCCGGAGCGTTTGTCCGCGGATCTCGTAGCGCTCTTACTCCTGTATTCATTCGCCAGCGACTCAGGGACGCGGACATTGCGCACATGGCGGGCGATCACCGTATCCGTGGGCGCAGACAGCTTGCTGCTGCTCGGTGCGCGGGGTGTCTCCGGCGGCGAGGGCTCATCGTTTGACGATCGTTCTCGATTCTGTTCTTCCTCCGTCAACGTCGCGAGAGTGCCATCAACGCGCCCCGGTGACTCGTGACCATCGTCAATTCCCGACGCCATGCTACCGAGACTGATTGAGCGCGAGAGAGCCAAGCTGCTACTCCGCGAGAATCCACCCCCGGGCGCCGCCCCTCCCGACTGCAGAGCGTAATCCGCACCCAGCGTGGCGTCACTCCCTTCGTTGGATTCCGGGTTGGTGACGAAGGAGGAGATAGATGATCTCGAGCTTCCATGTCTGCTTCGCAGGAACTTTGGTCTCTTGCCGGAGACGCGGCGATTCAGCAGCGCCAGACCTGGCGTGCTCCCCGCATCTGCAGAGAGACTGAGGTTGGAGTACTGATGGCGAAGCGTTGGCCGTTCTTCCGAGTCGGCACGAGAAGAATCATACCTTGGTTTCCTTGGCGTGGCTTCCCCAAGACCCTCTTCATCGTCCGTGTTGTGTTCCTGAGACTGCGGATTGCTCTGATCATTCGCCGTTTCATATCCCCTCCCACTCGCCGACGAGACAGCTCTCGAGATCGACCGTGCCACCGCTGCTACCGTAGGAGATGACATGACCTCAAGGGAGGACGTCGAATTGCCTACATCCGACGTATCATCTTCGCCCTCCGCAGAGTCCTCCCTCGGGGCTGCTGGAGTCTGGTATGCATTCGGCGGTGTTGGGGGCGAGGACGGTGGGGTTTTCTCGCTCGTCTTCGTATTATTCTTCTTCGGTGTAAAGTTTTCCTCCTTCAGCGGGCTGCTCTGTCCCCGGGCCGCTCCATCAAATAGATACGTATCATCGGCGCCCTTCTCTGTCATGCCAATTGGCGAGAGCGTGGGCAAAAAGCTCTCCTCGACATCATTCAAATGCCTCTGCATAGCCCCCTCATCCAACGAATCCATATTTGCTTCACTACTCGGTCCATGCTCACTATGCACATACAGCAAGCTGCTATCCGTAGTCTGCGGCAACGCAGGGAGGCTCGCCGGGTCTAGCGATGCCCTTTGGTTATTCTTCTGCGTCCCTGCACCGACCTCCTCATCATCGTCGGCGAAGTGCTCCTCCTCCTTGTTCGGGGACAGGTTATTATCGTCGTTGTCGTTGTCGTCGGTGTGCTCGAAGCTACCGCTAGGGACTTGCTCCGGATCTCTGCGCGCCGTCTGCGGGCGCGACTCTGGCTCGTCCGAGGGCGGGTGTTCGTCTGATGTCTCTGTCATTGTGCTGCTGGCCGGCGCATTCGTGTTCGGCGCCTAGTAGTAATATCAATATCTTCTCCTGAGGAGGAGGAGACGGACGCGCTCGTACGAGTCTGTCTGGTTGTTGCAGTGGTTGTAGAAGGGAGAAGAGACTTGAACAATTCTGCCGAGAGAGCCCTTTTGTTATTTCGCAATTGACATGGCCGCGACAGAGAAAAAGTCGTTTGCTCGATCGTTGATATTGGGGATTTTTAAAGGGGTTCTTTTTTTCTTTTTCAAGAGTCGCTATGCAGGGTCAACATCGCGGGCAACTGTTTTGATGTGTTGTTGTCCGAGTGTCGTAAAGACAGGGATTGTTGGATGCGACGTCCGAGTCATGTAGCCTGTGAAATAAGGCATCCAGGCCAACACCCATTCGGTACTGAAAATGTTATTCCCCCCTTTTCACAGTCCTATAGCTGTACAATATGATCCAGGGATAGTATGATGGATTATATCTATACATGTACACACTTAGCTATCTTCCACGCAACATATCTGCTCACTTTGATCCACCTTCATTGCTCCAATAACTTGGGATTCCCATCCCTATCGTGACTTGTCTACGTTGCACCCCTAGGTATCTTGCCCACCAACTTTCCATCTCATATAAAGCCGCGATCAGCGGCCTGCCGCTCTCTATCCACAGAGTCCATAGATTCAACTATGCTCTTTCTCAATTGCGGACCATGTCCAGTGCTTGGCCCCGAATTGTCTTCTCCTTGATAACCTACGCGCGCCGTGTTTGATTTTTCTTCATCCTTGCGGCGGCTGTCCAGGCAGCCTGCGAACCATATATACCCTAGCGGTCCGGGTGATCTGCCCCTTAATCCACAGCTTCTGGCCCTCCCGAAGCTTGATGTTCAACCTCATCAATGAACCCAGAGGCGCGAGCAGTGACCATCCACCCATGGTTGGCCCGGTCTGGTAGTGGTCTCGGATAGGGGGCTTCCCAGGCGCCCGCGGGTATCGAACGCGGGGATCGCCTGGAACTCCGGGCTCGGTCCGATCTCCCAGGTAGAAGGGGACGCTGGCACAGATGTCATCCACTAGTTGTTGGATGCTGTGCTTGTCAGCTTCTTGTTGTGCTAGGTTCGCAGCGGAGGGTTTCTCGCTCCCGGCGAGACACGAGAGGCGGATCTTCCTGACCTCGATCTGCAGCAATCGAAACCTGCTCCACGAGCTACAGAGAAACACACTGCCATAGATCTCACAGTAATCCTGGTACAATCCCGCTTCCTTGATGCTCGGGGCGATGTACTTCTCCCCCGAGACCCGGATCGGGATCCACGATTTGGGGATCGTCCCACACCACTCAGTCAGTCGGCGGTCGATGTCGGTAGCAGTGTTAAGGAGGTACTGTATTTGCGATGCGCGTATACGCGGATTGACCGCCGGCGCACGATGGATCTCGGCGGCCGATGCGCGGAGGTTGGCAAGATCAAGGTTGATGGTGTCCAGAGTTACTCCTGGGATCTTCTCCGAGTCACCAACAAGCTCTGCCCACTCTGCCACATCACGGGGCACTGCAGAGTTACTCCCGTAGGCTTCTCCAATCTGAATAAACGGTCAGCGCAAGTCCGCGGCATGATTGTCTCAGGGACAAGGGCGCATACCAGTAAACTTCGAACATATAATATTATCGCCTCGGATACTTTCTTCCCCTTAAAATCCGCAATTCCCCGGTATCTGATCAGGGCAAGCGCCCCATCCAGGTGAGCATGACTGGACGCACTCGTCCAGAAACCGCGCGCGATAAAAGCCTCGGAGACCATGAGCCGGCCATCGCTGATGGGGGAAGAGGGTTCGCTCACCTCATACATGTGCAGGAGCAAGACCGCGATCAGCATCTCGTCATTCGCACAGCCCTTCTGCTCGGAGACCTGGTCCCGCATCGTCTTGACGGCTCGGAGGTAGAAGGATCGCGCGAAGGTGGTGTTTGGATCTTGGCCCATGCGGGTGGAGAGCATGCACGCCGCCACGGCCATCGTCGACAGCATGAACGGCGACTGGGGGTCGGCGTGCGTGTACAAGGGGCCCAGGTACTCGAGGAAGCCGCGGCGGGCGAGGGGATCTCGGACGGGGAGGATGTAGGAGTTGAGGAAGTAGGAGAAAGTGCGATCTTCTGGCGTCACACGGAGACCGAGATGAGGGTCCAACCATGTGGTCGACGTTGTCGGGTCCTTGGCCTCTTGGACTTTTAGTGCTCGGGAGACACCCCGCGATCTAGAGGGGATCAGGGCACCCCGCATGATCGCATCGTGAGACTCAGTTCCAGCTAGTCGCGCATCGTTATTGTCCTGAGCATCGGAGGCAGAGGAGGAGCGTGAGGATCGTGAGGAGTCCTGGGCCGGATCTTGAGAGAAGGACGAGGACGACGACGAAGAGGACGACGACGAAGCAGCAACGACCTTCTCCCGCGCGGCCCTGCGCTTCTGCTTCCCTCGCTCGACGCCCTTCTTTGCGACGGTGGTCTGGTCTCTCCAGGCCAGGTCGAACTGGTCCTTGTAGCCCGGGCAGGTCTCGTGGATCCTGAAGCAATTGCCACAGGCGGGGGTTTTCTCATCGCACTGCGCATGGGACAGTCAGGGGGGGAGCGGTCAGCAGCAGTCTCTCGAGGGGAGATACCTTGATGCGACGTTTGCGACAGGTCGCGCAACCTCTGCTCGGTTGGCCAGTGTAGACCATGTTGGGGCGGAATTCTCATGAAGGGGGGATTCTTGTTTATTTTCTTGCGCTGGTATTGAAATTGAACGTGGTGGAATAAAGTAGAGGGGAAGTGTATGTATCGGAGAGACTTGTTACACTCGACAGGCTGATAAAACTCGGGAAGCGTCCCGGAGGGGGGGAGGGGGGCCCGAGAGACCTGATATGGGAAATGGGAGATGGGCCAGGCCACGGCTGGCTGGGGATGAGTTGGAATGACCGGGTTGGTGTTGGATTTATCAATACCTGGGACTGTAACGGTGGAAGGGCAGAAGACAGACAGGGGAGACGAGAGACGAAGGGGAAGGTCGAGAGGGGCCAGTCGAGGGCACGGCACCTCAAGTCATCCTTGACCCTGACCGGGCGGTCTCTTGCGACTTTGCATGGCCTGGTGAGCGACTGGTGGGTGGTGAGAGGTGAGAGGTGAGTGGTGGGTGGTGGGTGATGATTGATAAAGGGTGAAGGAAGGGTGAAGAGTGAAGGGTGAAGTGAGAGAGGAGGGATAAGAGAGGAGTTGGAGCGGCGCAGGAGGGAAGGAGAGAGAGAGATGTGAAGTGAGGGATGTAAACCAGTTATTGATTACAACGGATTGATTGATTCGGTTGATGCTCATATGATAGACGTCTATGTTACCTTGGATAGATGGATGAAGGAAATGCATACATCCACACAGACACAGACACCACACATCACTCCTCAACCAAAACGGCCCGTCCACCCCGTCCCGACACTCCCACGACCGGCGATTCTCAGGCCGGTTGGCCGATGCCCACCTTACCTTACCTTACCTACCGGTACCGCCCGCTCGGGTCCGTGGCCGATCGATCCAATGATGTTGCTGGGATGGATTATTTGCACAAGGTCAAATTCACAATACCTAATAATGAAATCAGAGAGAGAGAGCCCCCTGATTCAGCAGCTGTCTCGCGATGCATTATTAGGTAAGCTGCGAGGTAAAGGTATACTGTACCTATTCTTATACATAGTTCGCCTTACCTGATCTAGGTATACTGTACCTTGCCTCTATTCTTAGGCATACAACATCTTACCTAACCTCCCGTCCCTCCAATGAGCCCAATCTATATATAACCTCCCCTTCAACCCCTCCCAGGACCCCAAACTACGCGTTACAGTCCCCAAGATCCGCAGCGTTTGCTTAGCGCACGCACATCACACCGCCCCGACGGGGATCCCATGACGTTGTTCTTCAGCTGCCAAGGCTTTGGGGGCTCGAGACTAGATACCTTAGGTTTAGATACCTTAGGTAGGGACTTGTGTAGAGTACCTTAGAGGATCATGCTAAACCCCTCTATTATAGACTGCTCTAGAGCTAGCAAGCCGTGTGCTCTTAAGATGGGATAGTCCGTCCTATCTTAGGTAGGTAGCTGATACTAGAGAGGTACAGTTAAAAGCACGTTAGTTACCTACCTAGTAGGTACACTATATAATCGTCCCTTTCCCTCCCGTCTCTCTCCTTTCCCCTCCCTTTTTCCACCCCTCATTTCGCCTCTCACCAATCCATCCAATCCAGTCCAATCCGCACACCTTTCAACCAACCAACCAAACAAACCCTAAACAAAAAAAAAAAAAAACCATGGGATTCACCGATAAACTCAAAGACCTCGTCAACAAGGAGATTTCCTCCGAGCAAGGCTCTTCTAACAACAACGCAGAGCAGCAACAGCAATCCGGTGGTGGGGCTCCTCAACAGGCTGGACAGGCTGATGGACAACAACAGGAGGATTATGGGGATAAGGGTATGTCTTTCCCCTCCCTCTCCCTGCCTCCTTCCCTCCCTCTCTTCTTCCCCCGGGGGAGGCAGGCAGGCAGGCAGGCGTTCAATTTTCAATTTTCAATTTTTGAGAAGAGGTAAAGAGGGATGGATGCTAACCGCGTGTGATATTATTCTCCAGCACTCGATTTCATAGAATCCAAAACGGGACATACGTTTAACAGAGAAACGAACGAGAAGATTACTGATGGCGTGAGGGATTTTTATGAGAAGCAGACTGGGTATGTTCTCCCCCCTCCTTTTCCCCTTTCTCCCTCTCTCCTTTTCCCCTTTTCCTCCCTTTCTTTTTTAGAGAGAGAGAGAGCGGGGGGGTGGGGGAAGGGAAGGGGTCTGAGATATAAGGTATCAGATATGCTAATACAAAAATTATAGGTCGAAAGTAGATTCCAAGTGGTCGAACTAGAAATATATATAAATCATATGATTGATGATGAAGATGATGGTGAGGATGGGGTGTGCTGATGGGGTGTGATGATTGATTGATTGAGCGTGATTGATACCTTGAGGTTTGGAGGAGGATGAGGGGGGAGGAGGAGGTGGTGGGATCAATGATATATAAGATGATGAATGAATATAAATAAATACAATCATGGAGCTACAGGCTACTGGGTTCTTGATTGGATGATTGATTTGATTTGATTTGATTTGAGTATGTGTGTATGTGTATGTGTGCTAGATGGTATAGGCATGGAGATATACCCCATCCATCCATCCACTCATCCACCCATCCCTACAAATTCAAGCTGACCTATTTTCAGATGTTAAGAATTATGAACACCATGACACTACACTACCTACCTACTATTGTACGCTATTTTCCCTTCCCGACCTGCCATATAAAGAACCGCCGATTTCCTTCCCAACCCAGCCGAACGCCTATAGATGCATGCAACCCCGGCACTTCCTTGCTTTCCGTCTTCCGTCATCATATATGTACCACCTCTTCTGGATTCCTTGTTCTACCAACTTCCCCTTTTTGAAACGTTTTTTTGATTGATTATGTCTGTCCGATCAGATGTCCCGATATACTTGGTACGACATGATCATCATCCATAGCAGGAAGATGGCGCCTACGAGCTCGAAGGCCCAGGCTGCTGTCCAGCTCTGACCTATTTATTCGTGGATTAGCATTGCTCGAACCCGGGCGGCAGAAAGAAAAACGAATATATCGAGAGAGAGAGAGAGAGGCAAGACAAGAGACTATCACATACAGATACTATGCTGTTCTAACCAAGCCAAGGTACTGGTGCTGGCACCCTTGACAGCGTTGCTGTTAACGTACAGGCCGCAATTCCCGTTGACGCCACTGGGCCCCCACAGCTGGATACTGATGACGATGAGGCCGACGGTCCACAGGACGAAGAGGATGAAGGAGCCCATGATGACGATACCGGGCAGCAGCTGGCGCTGGGAAATCAGCCACAGCATGATGATGATGAAGACGATGGAAAGCGCGCCGACGGTGACCCAGTAGGGGAAGTACCTGGGGAGGGGGTTAGCCTGGTGGTCTCCTATGCACATACACATACACATATATATGTGTGTGTGTGTATACAAAGTATATACAGAATAAAAAGGGGCATGCGACAAAGGGGAACCCACCAAGGAATCCCAAGCTGCAGCTGCGACTGGACGCTCATGAAGCTGGCGAAGATGCCCAAGTTGGCCGAGCTTCCAACCAGCATGATCAAGGTCCAGAAGTTAAGTTGCACGGCCGGCCAGTGGTACTTGGTGCGGACTCGGACCGCCATCTCGGTCATGGTTGAGACGGAGGAAACCATCTTTGCGATTCAGGGGAGGTGAGGTGAGGTGAGGTGATGGATTCAATTGGTGTCGTCGTTGTCGTCGGTGTCGAGCGTGATGGTATTTAGGACACTCTCTTTGCCTATGTCCCAGATTCTTGATTTCTGAACCTTTCTTTTCGTCGAATCTTCCTCTTTCCTTTCTCTGTTCTCTTTTCTCTTCCCTAGGTAGATATATTCCCCCTCTTTTCCTATCTCTCTTAAGGTATGATTAACCCCCTCCAAATAATCCCCTCACCAAAAAAGACAGACCGCCCTTCTTCCTCCCCTTATATACCTGTCCTCTGCCTCACGCCCCGCCGCGAAAAGAGTCACGATATCGTGGCTCTCCCCCACCCGGGTATCCACGTCCACGTCTGCGCTGTGTTGGCGCCCGCGCGGCTCGACTCGAGCTTCGTTCGTTCCTTATCCGCGATAAGCTGCGGATCGTGCGATCGCAGGGTTAAGCGAGACGGGAGGGTGCGCGAGGGCCGTCGAGTCTGTTTTGCGTAACGAGGGTGATGGGGATAATGAGAGGAGGGGATTGATGGATGATGGATGGAGAGCAAACAATAGATGGTGAAATTTCCCGGAAATGGGAAAAGGATGAAAAGAATGGTGGTGAGGGATATGTGTGCGAGGGAGAGACGTGGGCAGAGAAGTAAAGTGACGCAGCGAGGCAGGGGAGCGGTGGCTGGTAAATGTGTGGCAGGGGATGGACACACGTTTTCCGACAACTCGACACCGCGCATTCAAGTTCTGGATATTCGCGCATTGCCAGCATCGCGAGACTCGAGAAGATGCATCGCCGGTTCTTCATGATTTCTATCTATCTCTTTAATAATGTCCAAGGTCCTGCAGGCATCGAGGATATCTCACAAGTCGCGACGCCAGTTCTCTCGCGATCCATCCAAATCCAATGCAACCCATCCCAACCCAACCCATCCAATTTAACACAACCCCAGCCAGGCCCATCCAAAAAAGCGTCTCCCCTCCCCTAATAGTATCATTCCGACCCAAGTTCCAATACAATATCTACAGCAGAGATTCTCCCAGTGCGCATCGGACTATCGAGCAACCAGCTCGGACCGTCTCATGCGCTCCGATATCATTGATGCCAGGGGCCAGCGTGGGGTTGACCTCCACCAGATCCACTGCGATCAGTGATCCCGTCTCGTGTACACATTCCGCAATGTAGTCCCCTTCCCGGAGGGTCAGGCCGCCTCGGACGGGTGTGCCGGTGCTCGGTGCCCACAAGGGATCCAGTGCGTCGACGTCGAAGGAGAGGTGGATCGGCGTATCGTTCCCGATGTATCCCAGAGCCATCTCCATGACCCTGCCAATGCCGTGCCTGCAACCCATTAGATTCGCTCCCCATTCGTATTCAGGGCAACGTACTTGTCAATGTCATGCATGCTGAAAGCGCAGATGCCGTTATCCCTCAGGATCTTCTTCTCCCCGCGATCCACATCTCGCAGACCGATGTATACCAGCTTCTTTACACTAAGCATGTGTTCGTCCTTCAACCATCCAAAAATATCCTCTCTCTTCTCCTTCGCAAGCCCTGTCAGGAAGGACACGGGCATCCCGTGAATGTTCCCACTCTCACTCGTCTCTGGTGTGTTGATATCCGCGTGCGCATCCACCCAGATAACCGCCATCTCCCTGCCCAGCCTCTCCCGGATCGCTTTAGCAGTCCCACTGACCGTGCCAATGGCAATCGAGTGGTCGCCTCCGAGAGTAAGCACACAGCGCCCTTCCTTCGCATGCGTGTAGACCTGTTCCGAGAGCTTCTGCGTCACGGCGGACACGGCCAGAGGGTTCTTCATCCCGCGCACATCGGGGTCGGATTCGGGCATGAGCTCTTTGTACGAGTGCACCGTGTTATCATGGTGGAGGTTGTATCCGAGCTCAGTGTGCAGTTGCGTGAGCAGACCGCTTGCGATCAGCGCCGAGGGCGCAGCGTCGACTCCTGGTTTGCACTGCGCAGGTTAGTTACCTTTTGCTGGTGTGGCGAGGGGAGGAGGAGACCGACTTGACCGCCCGAGAAGCCGACTGCCACGACGCCGAGTTGGTCGGGCTGGGAGAGGAACTTGGGCTTAACCATCGAAGTGGTCGTCATGTTGAAGGCTGGATGCAAAATATTGTAGGAGGAATCTGCTCGCTGCTGCGCGACAATGGTGATGATGGTGTTGGTGGGGCGGAGTGGGGCAAAGCGAAGGTCTTCAAGAATGCGCCGTTTCTGTCAAAGGAAATGGCTCAAGGGGAAGAATATGAAATGTAGCGAGAGAAAAGGGGAGGGAGGCGTCTTTATATAAGGGATCTCGAGCAGTTCATACCCCAACTGTGTTGCGGCGCGCCGTTAGGTAAAAGGAAAGGACCAAGGGAAAAAGATTTTCGCATCGCATCGCATCGTGGTGGAATTTGGTCCCTAAAAGCAGGACGACGCGAGCGATGCGAAGCGCGTCTAACACTTAGAGGGAGGTGCATCCAGACGTCGTCCCCTAAAGTTGAGATTAGCCGTGGTGGGGGATCATTTGATGCCGTTGATAATCTGAATGGCCGAACCATTTGACATCTAGAGCTAAGGGCCCAGTCATGCGCCCCCAACTGATAAGCCATGAAGTTCACGGGATTAAGACGACCCATCCTGGTGGTGGTCTGAATAGCTGTTGCGCTTCATGTTCAGCGGATAGCGACGGACAGAAGGGATTCGAGAGCGAGAAGTGCTGTAGCATTTGTCCTCGGACATCAAGATAAAAAGGTCTGTTCAAGACATTGTAGATCAACGCCCTCCGTGGCGTCGGAGGGTCCCATGAAAGCCGCCAACGAGAAATGCGATGGTGATATTATTGTAGTTGTGATGTGAAGGAAAGCTGGAGCACAATCATGATGTGCTTGTCATACAAATCAGGTGATTGACAATCACGTGCTAATGTTGCCGGCTACCTAAAGTAAGGTACCTTACCCAAGAAGGCTCTATACCTAATCATGGATAGGAGGACCCAGTATGGATGACTTTGTCTATTTTTCTTCAGTCTTTACCTGTCTAGTATCCCTAATGTTGTTGGATATCTCTAAAATTACAGGAAGCCGGGCTTTTTATAATCACGTGATATAAAAGAAGAAGCCTCAGCTTTCACTGTACAGCCCAGGGCCTGATTAAGCGTCTATATATGTAGACTTTAGTGATATATTGAAAACATTGATCTATAACACATTTTTTCAGCAGCCTCTACCCTTCTACCCTCAACATGCCAACTTGGACCACGGGCTCCCCTGCTTTCTTATTTCGGACTAACAAAGAGAAGGGGGAGAGAAAAGGGGGGTTACCTTCCCCCTCCTGCTCTTCTCCCACTTTCTTTTCAACATACAGCATCATAGATCAGAAAGAGAGCCTCAAACATTTCCTTCCTCTCGTCCAGAGAACACCGTGGAGAGAATCATCTTTCCGATGTTGCATGTTGTTTGCTGAGTGTCCAAGAAAGCCCTCGTACTCTGCGTTGTAGAAAAATCCTCAGGCAAATCCTTCTTTGTCTGCAGATCCGTGAATGCGGAATAGTTAATTAAGTTAAGGTTCTGCTGTGAGGTCGTGACACTTTCAATTGTGTTGCAGTATGCAAGGAGATGGAGGTGAAGTTTATAGGGAGAAGATTTCTATCCTATTCCTCCCAGTTCCATAAAAGTAACATGTAATTAGATTCACTGTTTCTTGAAGCAATGACGCTATAGTTACTGTTGACGGATCTACCCGCGAGTATCTTGCCTTTCAAACGCGGGCGAATCTTTTGAACAGTGAAGAGGCGTGGGCCAATACGGCAAGTTACCACTAAGCATTTGCATCCAACAAGATCCCAAGCTACGAGATAACGATATTCATTGGTCAGGGTATCAATCAGCTATGGTCTACTTCGACCTCCACAATGCAGCATATCGAAGCTGCTGTCCTTCAATGTCATCCGTGGATGACGGGTCTTATCTACCTAGTCATCCCATCCCATCCTGACAGGTGGAACCAAACGCCAATGCTATGCGCAGAAGCAATTCACATATCATCCCTTGTCAAAAGGCTCTCTACCTATCTTGCATACTCGGCCCTTGAAATTTTGATGCAGGTTCACGTGTGACACGTGATAAATCACTGATCACCTGGGCCTTAAATCCACAACATCAAACTTTAACCCTTCAGCCTCACAGACATGTCCTGGTCTCAGGGCATGTGTATACACATTTGGCTCCTCATGGGGGTGAAAGAGTCCCGTTTTGTGACAGTTGAGTACAGACTGCATGCCAGGTGGATCAGTCAGCCGGAACACACCCCATCTAGTGCCAACGATTAGTACTTCACTTCGATACAATTATAGCCCCGTCCACTAAGTAAAGACAGCAGGGGGGAAAACTTACGCAGGCGTCTTGCTTGGCGCACAAACAATCGCGATGCTTTCTGGCATCATTATTTGATACCCGCAATGCGTATGCAGATCTCTGCTACTCATAAAACAAGTCTGTGTCGGATGCGTGTGAATCCAGCCCAACACCATTAAGTCCTCCGCAGCACAGTAATCAAAAAAGGCGCTCTCATTGATGGTTTCGCAGGTATCGCTCGTGCTCTCTTGCTCGGGAATGACTAGCTTTGAAATAAAAAGCGCATTGGAGATTAATGTCCCACATAACATACCACAAGTCTCGAGGTTATTCCGGGTGTTGGATTCGGCGACTTCGAGGAACCTTAGACGTAAAGTCGGAGGCAGAAAGACTGTTCGTAGAGGGTTGCCATTCTCAAGATAAGCAGAAGGGCGAAATGTGAAATTTGTTGCAGGGAGTTTTGAAGCCGACACGTCTTGATTTTCGGAAGGGATCTTGTCTGGCAGACTTGGAGGGCTGATGTGCATCGGCCCTTCGAACCTCTCTTTCGGTGGTTTTGGCGGGAGTTTTATGCCGGGTGAGCTCGTTCTCGATGACTCAAAAGTATCGTCATATTGTAGGGGTTGAGATTTCTGTATTGAAGGGTAGCGGTATTCACCATTACCATCCCTCGCAAAAGGTCTTGCTGGACGAGGAGGCTTCGGGAGGCGTCTTTCTCCTGGGCCAGGAGCAAAATCCTGCGGCCCATCCAGTCGTCTCCTTGAAGCCTCCATGTTCCGCCGCATCTCATCATCATAATGAGATTGGTCACCTTTCGATAACGCAGCCTCCCAGCCACCCCATTGTCCTGCCGTCCGTCTTTCCTTTTCACCCTCTGCAGAGATACTGCCCTGCTGTATAGCTCTCCGTTTCGTTTCTCGCCGTCGAATCTCATTATGCGCCAGCTGTACTGCAAGATCGCTGTTCTCTGCTGCACCTAAGGTTGTAGGATTTCCCGCAACAGCTGGGTCCGTGGCAGCAAGGTCAATCTGGGATCGGGAATTGAGCCTATCGTTTTCAATTGCTGTATTGGCCTCTCTCCGGCGCTCCATAGCCTTCTGCCATGAGTTATATCGTGCCTCGATCCGAGGTTTGAGTAATTCTAGTTGGTCTAGAACGAAAGGTAAAGTCTTGTCCGCAGCTCTCAGACCCGCTCGATTCTCTGGTTCCCGCGCCAATGGATGGCTAGGGAGCTTATAGGCAATGAGGGTGGCATATCGCATAAGTAACAAGAATGCTTGTTGATCATTATCTTCCTGCTCGTAGATGCGTGCCTTTGCGACTCGTCAGCAGTCATCTAGCAAAATCACTTCCAAGTAGCCTGACCTCCCGCAGTAAAGTGTCCGCAGTCCGTAACCAGTATTTTATGGCAATAGAAGGGTTGAAATCGAAATCTTCAGCCTTGGCTGAGATCTCTTTCACATTCATGGGTTTGGAAGCTTGGAGACTTGACCCCGCCATTGTTGTCCTTTTTGACGGTACCAGGAGCTCGTGCTGTTCTGTGTACCCACTAAGAGTAGGAGACTCTATATAAAGGTAGATCCCCCATCTACTCCCGTGAATAGAGAACCTTTGATTTGTCGTGAAGTTGTTGAAGTGATCAAATTGTAGCTGCCTGTGGATGTCGTTGCTTATTCGACTCCGTACGTCACGCTAGGACCCCAGATGCGAATGCGGCAGAATTACGGGATCCTACAAAGCGACACCGTGCAACCTTAAGTTTCTCAGCCTCGCGAAAATTATATTCCCAAGTCGAATCAATCTGTTAGCATTTGCCCAAGCCTCCCACCACTGTCTTTTAGTTTTAACGACAATACATCCGTCTTCATTGATGTTTCGAGTCCCTTCATTTACCGGTAGATTAGCACTGCTGAGGTCTCCCGCGACTCTACACTACATCGGAACACCTCGATCGTTCAAGGAGGACTGGAAGACACTCCACACGAAGGATTCAGAAGCGGCTGGAATTGCGCGCAATCCTAATTCGGCACAATCCAAACCGACTCAAAAACGAACGAGAACATCGACTCGCCGGAAATCACAGGCAACATTAAATGAAAAGAACACAGGCGGCCCGGTAGAGGAGGATGGAGACCAGATAGGTTTAGAAGAGGATGCACGAAAGAGGAATAAGCCTAAGAAACGCAAGGATGTCACATCCTCGGCTCCAGTTCAAGGGAAGGATGGTCTCATCCAGTACCTATTCGAAGGCTATGGTGGCTCCCATAAGAAAGGGCGTACCAAGGTTGGAGATTCAAGACGGGTTCAAATAGTCAGTAAGGAATTGTGTGGTAAGATCGACATTAGTACTCTACTATGGCCTCTTGCTAAACTTCAGCAGACGATATTATCGAACGTATGAAGCCATCACTGGAAAAACATGTGGGTTGTGATATAATAGATTTGAATCCTGGTCCGGGAATATGGTCTTCAGCCATCCACGATTTCCTCAAACCACGGACACATGTTTTGATGGAACCTGATGATGCCCTTTATAGACCATTACTTCAGCCGTTGCTCGATGCTGAGGGCTCCACATACAAGCTGATACCTAAATCCGGGGTAGTATGGGCTTTCCTACAACAAGCGCTTTCTCCGGAACTCCTCCCACATCAGAAGGTGCGTGAGCCTGGTGACCCGCGCTTGGAGGAGCAGAATGATACGCTTTTAGTCCTGGCAAACCTGGGATACTATCCGAAGAAACCCTATAGAGGATTTTCTTCAATTAGCAGCCTCGTTATTTATCAACTCTTAAGCGCTGCTCGGTCACACTCGCTCTTCCACAAGTACGGCCTCATACGTATGCTTATATGGGTAGAAGATGAAGAGAAGAAAATGGTTCTTCCCAGGAGCATAGTGAACCGGCGAAAATCTTCAGTCGAGGCAGAAGTCACCTGTGGCGATATTTTCGAAGTTGCGTCCTCCACCGACGCGGTTGGTGTAAGTCTGCGAGACCATAATCTTGACTTGGAAAGTTCTATGGCTGTTTTGAAGAGAATGGACGAGGCTGGAATTAAGACACCGAAAAATCGACAGGGCGCACTGGAAATGGAAGCCACTAAAAGTAGTTCAAGGGACATCAGTGCGGAAAGCCAAATAGTAAAGAGGGAATTCTATAAAGAGTTGGAAGATTTGGAGCGACGCTTCGATGCAGAAGAGTTTTCTATGTTCCAGGACTCTCCAGAGGGTCGTCAAGCATTGGAAACCTTTCAAAGCTTGCAAACCTCTGCGCGAAGCCCGAAATTACAAACACCTGAGTGGACTCGCATGGCACTGCTAACCAAAGCAGAGACAAGATGGAAAAAAGAAGCGCCAAAATCGACATTCAAACATGAGGACGAGCTCCGTGAACTTCGTGAACGATTCGCAGCTGGAGAATTTCAACAGTACCAATTGTCTGAAGATGGGTTGCCAAAGCGGGTAAACAAGACTAGTATGGCAAAATACTATACCCCGGAATACAAGCGCCTCGAATACCTTCGAACGCGAAGCCGGATGGAAAACAAGAGAGTTGCGAGGGCCATGGCTCTAAGTGATGAATACGATGAGATTCTTACGATGCAAAAAGAAATCCTCAGTAAAGATGGATCTGAGGCAGACAGTCTCCGGCAGGAAATCGACAGACGTACTGAAGAATGGAAAGAGGAAATGCAGTTGATGAATAATGAAGACGATAGGGCTCTGGTCTACAATATGCTAGACAATCGCTCAGCATTCCATCGAGATCCTCCCGTCTTATACTGGGATCGAAGGAAAGCGGAACCTCTCAAAACTGACCCGCAAGAGTTCTTCCCCAAAGCCGAGATGGCTCTACTCGACTTCCAACCTCAACCTCTATGGCCCGTTCTCCGAGAAAACTTCCCAGCCAATTACGACGTCTTTGAATATATCGTTTCCAACCTCCTCATGATTCCAACCCAAAGCATTCGACAAGGCCTGTCTTCTTTGGCTCCTGGGGCTTTCGAGTGGTTAGTTCAAGAATGCCCTTCGATTTCAGATCCAAACAAAGGAGGGAATCCCGATCATGACTTCATGAGAGTCAGGACTTTGACCCTGGAGATGTACAAAGAAATGACAGAGGCATGGTTACGATGGCCGTTTCGACCATCCAGATACGATTTGTTGTCGTTGATGGGGTCCGAAGTCCATGATCCTGATGCAGCAGAAGTGGGAGAGAGGGTTTGAGCCTTGTGACTACTCTCCAACCTTGTATAATAGTATTTGAAACCTGAGAGCTCTTGATAGAAGTTCAGAAGGATGCATAAAGGTGTTAACTATTTATCTTCCCAATTACTCAGATTTAGCGAGCAATTTAAATGGGGGATTCACTTGATCAGACTAAGTAAGAGTGTTGTCGCGTTTCTTTCTGACCCTCATTCACTTATGTTATGCGACCAACCGCGTCTTTGATATCATGTCTTGTATTTAGGTAGCTCGCGAGCGAACCAGTCACCAATACCATACCACAGCAGCGACGAAAACGAAAAGCCAGAGAGTAGCCATACTCAATTGAAACTATGGCACTTTGCTGGTTCTTCTTGCAGGGTCGTTGCACTTATGGCAGCTCCTGCCGCAACATCCACGAGGTTCCAACCCGTGAGGACTCCGATCTTGCAAACTCACCTTCGACTTCCGATCCGAATGTGGTCCACGACGCGACTTCCAGGACCATTGGTCGTCAGAAAGACTCTGGGAGAGTGCATTGCCGCTTCTTTCTGGAAGACCGTTGTGTATTTGGAAGTTCGTGCAAATACCTCCACGAGACTGACTCTGACGAACAGGGCAAGATCTCTAAATTACTGAAGACCTTGGTTCTAGACGGCCCTTCAGACAAAAAGAATCAGCAATCACTACTACCATGCCGCTATTTTCCATCTGGTACATGCAGGAATGGCGACGCTTGCCGTTTCCAGCATGTTGTCCATTCTGATAACCATCTCAGTCGTAACGATGAAGTATGTCTTTCAGACCCTTTTGTCTGAGATCATGCTTGTGTATTAGGTATTAGGAAAAGTACGTGCACTAACAGAGAACTAGAAGTCTACTCATCCTGTGTCGAGCCATGCCATCGCCAACTCCTTCTCCAAAGACTTTCCCGGCGCGACAGTCACCTTCAAAAAGGGACTCGAAATATCAAGTGTTAAGCTTCCATCTGATTGTTCCTCAATCCAGCTCGTAGACCTCCCGACCGATGCTAAACCTCATGCAGTAGTCGAAATATTAGCTGGATTCGGATTCATCGTTCTTGAATCGGCGATTCAGATCAAGCCTATGGGCCGTTCTGGGTCTTTGGCTACCATCAGATTCAATGACCTGCAGTCTGCGAGACTAGTAGTCCAGAAGTTTGAGAAGGCTTTTGGCAGTAATAGGGGCGAGCTGTCCATAAAGGCTATACTGATCCCCTCAAAGTTCGGGAATCGGTTGAGTTTAAACTCTGTCACCTGCTCTTGGCGTCGTCCAAGCAAGATGGCTCGGCTTTGGTATGATAACTTTGATGAAGCATATGCCGCCAAGAATGCTCTTGAGCGGCATCCGAACATTCTGGGTCGCAAGTTTGAGATCATAGGGCCAGACCTCGATAACTGTGCAGCCAGGTTGGACGTGACAGGCCTTGATCCGACAACCGAGGAGAGGCATTTCAATGAGATCTTGACGTTGGTTCATAGACCGCAAACCATTACGTTGAAGAAGCCGCCATGCATTTTATCTGACGAGGAGTCCAGGGAGGTTGTTGAAACCCTTCTGAGAGATGTGGGGACAATGGAGAGTTTTTGGCTCCGTGAAACCGCAGCTGATAGCAAATGGATACGAGCCACAGTAACATTCATCGACCAGGACTCAGCAATTCAAGCGGTTAAAAAACTACACAATACTAGAGTTCCAAAATTTGGTTCCCGACTATTCGTTTCACGGATAATATCCGTTAAATACTACGTCTCCAACAAAATTGTCGATGCCATCCAAACCCGCCTTGATCAAATATCTCGAATTGCTCGGGAGGTTGACAAGACCCAGCTCAAGATATATACCAATGAAGATCGACCTTTTACCACAATACGAATTTCAGGAGAAAACGCAAAGCCCGTCGCAGATATCAAGGTTATTGTTGAAAGGCTCATAGATGGAAATGTCCTTATGAACGGCGAGTCAGCACTATGGAATGTCTGGTTTTCCACTCGCGATGCGCTTGATTATTTCAGTGAGCTTTCGAAGGAGAAAAATGTTTATATCTATCGAGATGCCCGAAAGTGCCAGCTACGTTTGTTCGGTTGCTCCGCAGCGTCACAATCTGCGATTGAACGAATCCTCATCACCAGAGTGGAATCGAATAATAAGGATATGCCTACCACGAAGCCCGAATTAAGCATTCTTTTCAAAGTAATATTCGGTGGCATACAGAAATTGCGTGGAAAGTTGAACAATCCAGACACTTTGAATCGCTCCGAAAACTCTCGCTCAACCAGCGTCTATAGCTCTACTAAAGATCTTGAGACTACTCGTGCTCCACTCATGAGCGATTGCTCTATTTGCTGGTGCCCTGCAACCGAACCTATCCAGCCATCATGTGGTCACACATACTGCCGCGATTGCTTCCACGGCGCCGCCGAATCCGCCGTTGACAACCTGCCTTTCCACTGCTTCGGTCAAAAAGGGGAATGTGACCACATTTTCACTATCCAAGAGTTACGGGACATCCTCCCCTTTGCCAAATTCGAAAAGCTACTCCGCGACGCTTTCGACGCGCATATTCGAACCCACCCAGAAGCACTCCAACACTGCCCTACTCCCGATTGTCCATCCGTCTACCGACCAACAGAGGACGGCACTGCGTTCACTTGCCATACCTGCCTAACGACCATCTGCACCACATGCAACGTCCGATGGCACGAAGGGATGGCGTGCGCGGAATGGAAAGAATTCCACGCCGATGGTGGCATGGAGGCGCTCAGACGCTACAAGGAAGAGCACGATGTGCGAGATTGCCCCAAGTGCAAAGCCGGCATCGAGAAAGACGCGGGGTGTATGCACATGCAGTGCGAGAATTGCAAGGTGCATATCTGCTGGTTCTGCATGCAGGTCTTCGAGGTCAGGGAGGAGGACGGACTGGCAGAATGCTATGCGCATATGACGGAGACGCATGGGTCTATTTATGACCCGCTTGATAGGAATTACCTCGATATGGATGATGATGATGATTTCCGTGATCTGGATTAGAGGGGTTTGTTTTGTTAGGTGTTGTGGGTGTTCGGAATGGAGTTGGAGGGAAAATATCAAGGTGCAGGCTGGTTTCTGATGCGGGGCCCGCTATAAATCACTCCAATTTGCTGTGCTTTGTTTGTCTATAGATGATCAGTTGTTCTATACAATTACACTGTGTCTCTCACACGTTGTTCTTCGCTGCAATGCGCTTTTACTCGCCACTGATGATTGTATCTAAGCTCGATCCATCGATTCAATCATTCGACGACTCCTACCTTACATTCCCTCCCCTTCTTTTCAATATTTCCATGATTTCCGATCCAGCTTACCTACCTAATCTTCTCAAAATAACAAATTCATACCCCCTCCCAAATCTCCAACCAACATCTCCATCCCTAGGTAAAGACGATCAATCCCACTTTCTAAGCAGTAGTCTTAAATTAATAAACCGCAGCCTCGTCAGGAACCACGGTCCAGCCTTGCATATAGTACGCTGTAGCGTTAGAACATATTACCTTACCTTAGCTCGTTCCGTCTAGCCCCATTTATTTAGTGCTTGTTCCCACTCTTTTCTTTCATTCTTTCTTTTCTTTCAGGGGAAGAATAAATAGGTAAATAAGGTTACCCCACCCACTCCGCAGCCTCATGTATGATAAGGTAAGGTATATGATATCAAATATATCGAGCAAGACATGCAAGTCAACGCATATAAATCAACATGCGAATTTGCAGTAAGTACGCGAAAGATGCTAAAATTGAATATGCTTGTTTGTTTGCTTGCTTGCTGCTGCGTGACGTGGATTGCGAATGGCACGGCATGGCACACGCTTTGAGTCGTTGTTTCTCTTTGTTTGGTTTGGGGGCAAAAGATTGTAAGGAAGGAAGAGGGTAAGGAAATAATGATTATAAGCCGAGAAGATAGGTCAGGTAGGTAAGCTGGAAGTGACAGTCTGACAGAGGCCGCCTACAACAAAACATATAATATACGAGTTATAAGTTTATAACCAACCAGCCAACCAACATCACCGCCATCGTCCACTGTGACTCCCATCTGCGATCTTCTCAATCCTGATCCCATTCACGACATTCGTTCTCTAGACTTCCTACGCTACCTCTCTTCCCTACCTATCATCAACCGAAACTTAGGTAGGTACAGTTCATCAACAACAGAACGAGTTTGCAGTCTCGGAGAAATGAATATGGAGTTTGGATTCCTCATCTATCCTATCCGCGCCTTACAAGCCCTCTTCTCCATCATCGTACTCAGCGTTCTCTCCTACGGTAGCCACCCTCCCCCTCTTTTCCCTCCCTCACTAACCCCCCTTCCCAGCATCTCACTCCTGGACCTCTCAGCTCAACTGGACGCCCTCACGAATCAGTTTCCTAATCTTCGCATCCGCATGGACGCTACTCGCGCTTCTATACCTGGTACTCGTGCCGCGCTTTTCCAAGGCTGAGATACATCGGCATGGACTCTTGGTTATTGAGAGCTTGACGACTATCTTTTGGTTCGCGGGCTTTATTGCGCTGGCGGTGTTTTTGGGCGATGGGAGGAGCTGTGATGGGAGTTGGGGCCCGTGTAGGGCTGCCGAGGCGGGTGATGTGTTTGCGGCTTTTGAGTGGTATGTTGTTGGTGGTCTTGTTTCTTTTGTTCCCACCCCGCCTCCCTCTTCCCTTTCTCTCTGTGTTATATCCGTGTTTCTATAGCATTTCGTTTATGGGGGATGTGCGGCTGACGGATGCTCTGATTCAGGGTGCTCTTCTCAGCTACGACGACTATGACGGCGATGCACTGGGTGGGGAAAGGGGGCGCTGGTGCGAGGAACCAGGGGCCGGGTCCTAGTGTGCAATATCCGTGATCGAGGGTTGACGGCTTTTGGAGCGTTGGGTTTGGGAGTTTTGGAACCTGCGGTCGGGGAGAAAGCATTGGTGTGTTCCTACCTCTTAATCCATATGAATTGATCGCGTTGGACCAAGAAGAGTAACTGTAGTGTGGTTGGTGATCATGTCCCAGACTCCCTACTTGCTAAATGAGCCTAGGGAAGTTCAAGCGGCTGGACGAGGAAGTCCTGCAGTAGGAGTACGGGGGCTTGAGAGGCATACATTAATAGCACCACATGGTCCATACGAATGCAAAGCAGCGAATCGCATATGATATACAGAGGTATCGGCCCACGCCTGTCTATATGCGAACTCGAGCGACGCCGAGAACATGAAATAGCGATCTTACACGCAAGTAAGTTACTCCCAACCCAACAGTCATTATTACGCATCATGCTCCTTATCCTGATAAGGTGTGGCGCCTACCAACTGCCAAGTAAGCTCAGAATCCAAATCGATCTGCTTCGACTTCGGCATCAAATACTCATTCTTGCCATCTCTGAAATACGTCAACCCGTCGGCCTAGATAGATATCAGAACCTGGTTAGCCATATCTCCTCGTCCACAACAAGACGACGGGAATATACGAGACTCACCAATCCAAGTGTCAAGTCGATCCCAGCCTCCATGAACGGAATCGGTTTATACTCCCTGAGCGACTTGCCCCGGATTGCGCGCGTGATGTTGTAAGAAACGACGTCCGCCTGCTGGCTAGCAGCTCGTCCCATCCTGACGCCCCCTGTCTCCGCCACATCTCCGAGAGCGTACACGTTTGGGTATTTAGAGTCGGCGATCTGCAGCGTCTTCTTGACTGCGATCATGCCGGAGCTGGTGATGGAGGAGGGAGACAGGGTCGAGAGGAGACCGGATGCGGGTTTGAGACCTACGCACTTGATCTATGATTTCGTTACGTTAGCATGGCTGGTTGGTCAAGGGTGAGCCTGGCCCGGCTTCGACTCGACTCGACTTACCAAGACATCGTAGGGGACGGTCTTGCCGGACTTCAGCGTGAGTACGGAAGGGGCCTCGCTCTCTGCTTTTTCGGGCACTCGTTCTCCCAGATGAACGTTAACGCCTAACAGATTCATCCTCCCCATGGCATACTCATGCAGCTTTGGACCGAAGGTGTTCATGACCCTCTCGCGGGAGTGGATCAGGGACACGTTCTTCTCTGGGTACTTTGACTTCGCATCGGTAGCCAGTTCGACGCCGACGGCTCCCCCTCCCACCACGACCAGGTCCTTGGCGTCGCGGATGCGTTGCTGCATATCGCGGAAGACGCCCATGCCGTCCCGCTTCTCGCCCGTGGTGAAGTTCCAGGGCGGCGAGCCCGTCGACCCCGTCGCGATGGCGAGGTAGTCGTAGTCGAGCTTCGAGCCGTCCTGCAGCTCGACCGTCTTGTCATCGATGGATGTCGCCAGGGCCTGGCGGAAGACCAGCGAGCCGGCGGGCGCGGCGGCCACGCCCGGCCCGTACGGGATGAAGGCCTTGTGCTCGTGGCCCGCGACGACCGAGACGCGCGGGAAGATCCACGTGAAGTTGAAATGGGACTTCTTCTCGACGAGCACGACGCGGTAGCCCGTGGGCACGCTGTTGGCCAGCCGCTGCGCCAGGAAGAACCCCCCGAAGGAGCCGCCGATGATGACGATGTTGCGCGGGTTGTCGACGGCGCGGTAGGTCAGCCGGTGGATGCGCGCCCGCAGGGACTGCATGAAGCGCTCGATCATGATGGGCAGCGCGGCGAGCAGGAATCTGGTGAAGAAGAGGATCTTGGACAGCATGTTGGAAGCGGATCGCTGGGCTCGGAGAACGCGGTCGAGGGATACTTCTGCTCTCTCAAGTACTTCCCCAGAAGAATCCAGCCCAGTCCTCGGACATGACTATTATTATATGGGCCGCGAGCAGCGAGGCCGCTCTTCGGAGTATGGAGAGGTCGGGACCGATCCAGGATCCAGAAAAAGGGGGGAGGGAGGGCGCATGTACCCGGTTTATCTGATTATCTGATATGGACGGATAATCAGCCCTCCCCCTGTTAGCCTCCCGTTCTGGGGGGTTACAAATCGATCGGGACCCCTTAGTCAAGGACGGGATCCGCAGTTTTGCTCGGGCTGATTGGGCAGCCCATGTTCAGGATCTCGCGGCGCTGGATTGCATTCCCGTCCCCCGTGTGGAATTTCCACGTCCGGTTCGAGTTTATCGATCGAACTTGATAATATCAGGAGATTGTCAGGATGCCGGGCTCCGGGCCCGAATCGCCACGCGGCTCGGCTTTGGCCCTTTTAGAGCCGAGTTGAGTAGTTGTTGGATCTTGAGATTCAAGAAGCCGAGACTTGTCATTTATATAGAGAGCAGCTGCTCTTGTTGTTCCTCTCTTCTAATACCCTTTTCTTCTAGCCCGTTAGCAGAACGTCTAAAAAAGCCGGGATGAATTGTTAAGAATTAAGAAATTATACCATAAACAAAACAATACAATACAGCGAGCTCTTCCGCCCTACATACGGAGTTAACAAAACAGCGAGCCCGCCTGCCTGCCGCTCGCTCGCTATATCCGCCCGGTCTTGCGCTCTTCTCCGCTAGACGCGGCTTAAAAATGAATAACTGGATGGCTGCCAGACTGCTAGTATGTAGGAGAAAACATGTCGTTTCTTCTTTCTCCATTCCTTCTCGCTAGTCTTGTCTTTGACTCACAAACCACAAACCACAATAAGTCAGCCTTACCTTACCTTACCTTACCTTACCTTACCGCCACAAAGGCCCAGAACACCAAAACCCAAAAAAATAGACTAACCAAACCAACCAAACCAACTAAATCCCCCCTTCCCCCTCCCCCTCATCAAGACTGTCAGACTTTTGATCCAGAGCACGAATCCCTCCCTCCTCTTTTCCACCTTCACATACGCAATGAAACCCGACGGCGAGCGGGTAGGCGCAGATACGAGTGAGAGAGGCTCGGGACGTCGCATTTCTTTCTCATGTCCGGGTTTGTCGACGTTGTAAGTGCGGAGTGGAGGAGGGGAGAGAGGGGAGGGGAGAGAGGGTTGGTGGGTTGTGGGAGCATATCTTATCTGATTGATTGATTTGATTTGATTTTGAGTTTGATGGAGGGGTGATCAGTGATAGGTGGGTAGGTTCGTTTAGGTATGAGACGGGCAGAAAAAGGGGGGGATGGGGTTATCATGTGATGTGGTATTGATAGGTAAGGTAAGGTATTGGGATGCTAGGTAGGTATAGGGGTGAGCGTGGGGATTATGAGTTGACTTGAAGGGTCTAGATAAATACCATGCTTGTATTAACGCAAGATGGAAAGTAGGTATGTTTCTATATTTCTATGTCGTACTGTTAATGTAAATGGAAGAGACGGGTTTGGTATTCACGTGCCAATATCCCGATTGGGGTCTCGCTAGTCTCAGCTCATCGTAAGAGGGTATCATCTATCCTAAAGCCCGACATAGCAGCATATAATACAGATTTCAGGAGTCATGAAAGAGAAGCGCGGCCTGAAATCTCAGCCATATATCCTAACCCGCAGAATATCCGAAAAGTCAAGTGAAAGCAAAAGGGGTATCTCGGTCCTGTAATCCCGAACTCCTAATGACCGTCCAGCATCAATGTAAGGAAGAGCGCTAATATCAACTCATATGGCGAGGGGCCGGTCAAAGGGGCTAGCCCATGATCCCGGCAACCAGAACCATGGCCCCCAGATAAATGCCCCCGCATACAAGCCCCTCACGCTCGAATAGTTGCTCGCTCATCAAGATCCCCGCCTGTATGAACGCGCCTACTACTCCGGTCGCGACTAGACAGGTCACTGTCAGGCGCCCCGCGAAACCCGGGATTAAGCTGAATGTCATGATAGGGACGAGGACTGCGACTGCGATCGCCATTGCGAATTCGGTGAGAGTGAGTTCGGCCCCATTCTGATCGTTTGTGTTTCTTCTGAGGCGACCAGCCGCCCAGTGTGAATTCTGTGCGAGGGGTTGAGTTTGAGGCTGTGTGATGGTTTCTGTTTGAGGCTGTGTGGTGGTTTGAGTTTGAGGAAATGGTGCGGAAGGAACTGAAGGGCGAGAGGGTAGGGAGGAAGGGGTTGTGGAAGAGCACACAGAAACAAGATCGTCCGCCGGGTCCAAGAAATGCGTCTCGGGTTCTGCGATAGGATGGACAGACTGTAGGTATTCGCGGTAGAGACTAATATCTGTGGGTGCGGGAGGGGCGAGCGACGCCGTGGCGTTGAATGCTGCTAATGCTTGATCTAATGTCAAGATTAGCAATCTGGGTCCAAGAGGAAAGGAGAGAATGGGTGGGGGGTATAGAGGGAGGAAATCACAGGGGGAAGAAAAGGGAAACGTACTATACTGAGCGAGCTTGAACCCGATCCGCCCTAAAATATCCGTCTTATGCCACTGCAATTCCCCTCCCGCCGCCTGCGCTGCTCTCCTACTCGCCGGCATCACCATTCTGCCCGCACGTCTCGATTGTGTATCCGCATTATCCAGACGATGAAGCTGTTCCTCCAATTCGCTTATCTCGTCTTGCAAGTGCAACAGAAGCCTATGATTCAAAGCCTCGAACTTGCGATATATAGGCTTTATCCTGCCTTCATAACCATCCTCGGAGTCGGTGGTATGTGACGCCAGTCGTGAGGCGAGAAGTTCATAACCCGTGATTGGGAGTGTCTCCTCTGTACGTGGCATGATGCGCTTGACGTGCTGCTGCTGGTATTGGTGCTGTTGATATTGGTGCGGCTGGTATTGGTGCTGCTGGTATTGGGAATGTAACGCACTGGGGCTTGAGGTGGGCGCATAGGGATACCTTGCATCCCCTCTGGGCATGTTCGGAGGACCAAAATTCTGTACCTGGCTGTGGGCACTCTGTCTCTGTTGAGCGGCAGCTAGTTGCGAAGCAATTTTGACTGACGCTGGACTAGGTTGTTCGGCTTCGTGATCGGACGCCTGTTCTTCTTCTTCAGCAGATCTTTCAGGGCTCGTCGACCGGTCGGTATCATTATCGGCTGGCGTCTCAGAGAAGTGCTCCGAGCCATGGAAGCTGGAAGTCCCAGATGAGGGGGTGTCAGGAAGGACATGCGGCGGTATAGAGGTGAGCGGCGGATAAATGGTTCCGTGCGGAGGCCATTGCAATTCAGACTTGTGAGTATCATCCTCATCTTCGCTCGCGGTCGTACTCTCTTCCTCTTCCCCATTTTCATCCGAACCCTCTTTCTCATGTTCATTCAAATCCTCTTCCCCATTTTCATCGGAATCCTCTTTCTCATGTTCGTCCCCTTCCTCTTCCTCGTGTTCATCCGAATCCTCTTTCTCGTTTTCATCTGAAGCCTCTTCGGAAAATTCAGCCTCTAGATATGCAAAAACGTCAGGCGCATCAGGGACAGCAGGAGATATTGGCTTATCGGGCTTCTCTGGACGCTTTGCCACACTTTGTTTGCCGGTGGACGCTTGTGTCACTGTAGAGTTGCTCCCACTCGACCCACTCGATACGTTCGTAGATGCCGTTGCAGATGTAAATGCCGAGACCATCGACGGTGAAGTCAACCTTGACCTGGCTGCAGCCAGCACAGCCCTGTGATCCTGGATTGGCTCGGCTTCGTCCTCGGACGAGGAAGTCGAGTCACTCCGAGTTGACATTGTGCGATGATGTCTGTCAGAGACAATCTCTCTTGATAATCCACTGGCCCTCCCGGCACCCGCATCTTTTCCCTTATGCGAATGTTTGCTTTCCGGTGTAGATCTCTGTGCCCGTCTTGATCTTTCCCTCTCCTTTCCCGTGTTTGCTCTTGCAGGGGTCGTTGCGGTCGAGTGCCGTGTACGACGGTGTCGGGGAGGTTCCTCGGCATAGCCGCCTTTCCCCCTTAACCGTCCCCTGGGGCCATCTTGGGAGTCGTCTTGGATAGGTTCGAGTAATGAAACACCGTATTTCGTTGTCATCGGTGGTGGTGGACGCATCTGACGATGGTCAGCGCTCTTCATATTATAGAATCAAAGGCAGCTATGGAATAATGCAGCCGGCAAGGACATAAATACCTAGAATGCGGGGGGGATGTTCCGGCGGTGTGCTCTGGGTCTTCTGGAGATCAGAGGGGGCAAACTAGAGAGAATGACTCGTAATCGACATTGTCGTTGAGCAGAGAAAGACGAGAGAAGTCGTCCTTGGGGAGGCAGAGGACAGCAGATATGATGTAGGGGATTGTCATACAAAACAGCAAGCCAAACGAATGGAGTCTCAGTCGTGCAACTCGACGTCGAACTTGATCTTGGACTTGGGTGATGGGCCGGGAGAAGACCCCTGGGGATTCTGACGTCGCTGGCGGCCAGACCTTGCGGGGGTCACCGTTTAGCACTGGGACCGGCACCCGTCGCTGGGCTTGAGAACGTTTGAATCCTTGAAAAGATGGGAAAATAAAAGTAAAATAATGAAAGCAAAAATTCTCCTCTTAATACCTACTCATTCACGAGACTTTAAGAAAGACTTCACGATAGTCATCGCCATTTTTGCTTCTGCGACGTGCCGTCTCTTGACTCGCAAGTCACTCCGAGGTCACCTCGCTGCCAGACGCGGTGGACCAATACACAATCACCACATACCATCGACATCTGCACCACCTCTGCACCCGCGTCTGCACCACGCAAAAAGAGGCCTCCCGCATCACAAACTACGATAATCTTTACAATTATCATAATATCATAACATCATCATTTCATAATCGCGACTCCCCAGTAACAGTCGCCGCCCCATCAGCTCGCTTCGAATCGGCGATGCTCCACTGCTTCTGATTCTCGCGTCTGCCGGAATCTCGCTTTGCCAGTCCTGATCCTCCACCATCCTCCATCCAATCGACTCCTCCCACTACAAGAGCCTCCAATGGCGCGAATTCCAGCCTCCGCGCTGCGAAGATACCTTCTGGGCGGGGAGCTCTCCACGCGGAGATGTCTGCGGAGGAACAATCAGATACCCACACGCCTGTGTTCTCAGAGAATCCGTGCCGTCCACACCTCCACAGACACAGATGCTGCAGATCCCAGCGGCACAAGCAACACGATTCCCTTCCGCAAACAATTGAAAGATGAGGCTAAAGCCCGCAAATCCTCTGTCCAGAAAAGATCAAAATCGGACAATCAGAGGCTGGACAATTGGGAACTAACAGTCGGCATCGAGATCCACGCGCAATTAAACACCGCGCGCAAACTCTTCTCCGCCGCCGCCTCAACCATCAACGATGAGCCCAATACTCATGTCGCGCTCTTCGATGTCGCAATGCCTGGGTCCCAGCCCGTCTTTCAGAAGGAGACCCTCATTCCCGCCATCCGCGCTGCGTTGGCTCTGAATTGCAAGGTCCAAAAATCGAGTAGATTTGACCGCAAGCACTATTTCCACTGGGATCAACCTTCCGGATATCAAATCACTCAATACTACCAGCCATTGGCGAAAGATGGTTACATAACGCTCTACGCACACGATGGGATTGCGAAGGAAGATGGGGACGAGATCAAGATTGGTATTAAGCAGGTGCAGATGGAACAGGATACCGCGAAGACCATCACGACGGTCGAAGGAGAGCACCTGTTGGATTTCAATAGAGTGGGCCTGCCGCTTCTCGAGATTATTACGCTGCCCCAGATTCATTATCCGCAGACTGCAGCAGCATTGGTGAGAAAGGTACAGATACTACTTAATGCTGTGGATGCGTGCGTGCTGGGGATGCAGAGCGGCGGGTTGAGAGCGGATGTTAATGTCTCGGTGAGGAGGAGAGATGGGCAAGGGGAAGCAGACAATGAATATTCTGGCGTGAAGGGTTTGGGGCAGAGGACAGAAATCAAGAATTTGAGCAGCTTCAAGGCTGTGGAAGACGCCATTATTGCTGAACGCGATAGGCAGATCGAGGTTCTGGAATCTGGCGGAGTGATTGAGGGAGAGACACGAGGATGGACGATCGGCAGCACAGAGACAAAGAGATTGAGAGGGAAGGAAGGAGAAGTCGATTACAGATACATGCCTGACCCGGATCTTGGGCCGGTCATAGTCGGCGATGATTTACTCGAGCATCTCCAATCCACACTCGGCGTTCTTCCTGACAAAGAGATCAGCATCTTAAACGAGACGTACGGGTTGACGATCAAAGACGCCATGTCCCTCGTCTCGCTCAACGAGGGTGGACGGGTTGAATACTTCCGCAACGTCGTAGATCAGCTGGTCCTCCTTTCCGGCGACGAGGACCTCAGAAGACTAGGCAGGTTGGCAGGGAATTGGGTCCTCCACGAGATGGGTGGTCTAGCATCAGACGCAGGGGAAGAGGGGGACGCGCTACAAATGACCAGTGAAGGCGATTGCGTGATACCGGACATCCAACTCTCGTCCCTGATCCACTATCTCGATAGTAACCAGATCACCGGCAAGACCGCGAAGAAACTTCTACCGGTTCTGTTTGAAAATGAGACGAAAGGCGTGATGAAATCCGTCAAGGATATGATTGATGAAGGGGGATTGTGGTTCATTCCTCTATCGGATGAACAATATGAAGAGATTGCCAGGAGCGTGGTAGAGGCGCACCCGCAACAGGTGGAAGAGGTTCTTGGGGGTGGTAAAAAGGGAAAGGGGAAGCTTAATTTCCTCCTTGGACAAATGATGAGGAGGGACGAGGAGGGGAGGATGGATCCTCAGCGAGCGACAAAGGTGATCGAAGAAGTCATTGAGAAGTCCCGCAAGTGATCGAAGCATATATCCCCCACTTATTAATATTCAAGTTAATATCCTGTTGCCCCAGCCTTACGATTCTCCGCGGCATTTGCAATGCGGCTCTCTGGGTGATCTGCCGAAGATTTCCCATTCCGCCGCTAGCACTGACCATGTCTTGTTCCTGGATATTTTTTCCTATCTGAAATCTCTAATCTGCGGAGTATCGTCGGAGATGCGCGCGATACCCAATTTCTCAACTTCTCTATTATTGGCGGTCATGATTCTGGCCGTTGATTATTTCTGTTGAAAGATGCCTGTCACGTCATTCAGTCATGCATCTACCTTATCTGGAACACTGCCGATCGCATGAGTTCACCAACCTCAACGCTCTGATAAGGAGACTGTATTATATTACTCTCGCGCCGCGGCGTTGATCAAGGCTGCTATGCACGATAGGCAGTTGTTCTGGTATTGATAACTGGAGACTCCCCTATCACCAGCTTCATTCTTGGAAGTATGATATATAAGTATATCCCAGCTTCTCATTTATCTCTGTTTCTGTCTATGTCAGCCTGTGTGAACCTCCCCTGGGGCAAGCTCTCTGTGTTTCTCGAACTCTAGGCTCACACAATGGCTGCTTCCGACGGTATCCAAGTCCTTGATCAAGGAGTCGGATATGGAATTGTCGTTGGAATTGGCGGGTTCTTCGCCATCATGATGTCCGTTCCCTTCCCCATCATTATTACCCCCAAATGCAAGCTCACAACCCTGGGCTAGGCTCGTACTAACCTACCTCCAAAACCGCTATACAACCTACAGCACCCATCAAGCCGAGGAATTCAACACGGCCTCCCGCAGTGTGAAGCCTGGTCTCATCGCCGCCGGCATTGTCTCCTCATGGACCTGGTCGGCGACTCTCCTCACGTCTTCCACCTTCGCCTATTCCTATGGCATCTCCGGGCCCATGTGGTACGGCGCCATGGGCACGTGGCAGATCCTCCTCTTCGCCCTGATCGCCATCAAGATCAAAGCGAACGCGCCTGGCGCGCACACCATGCCCGAGATCGTGCTCAGCCGGCACGGCACAGCTGCGCACATAACGTATCTATTCTTTGGCTGGGCGACGAACATGCTGGTCGGTGCGTGCCTGGTCTTGGGAGGAAGCCAGGTTGTGAGCGCACTCAGTGGGGTCAATGTCTACGCAGCGTGTTTCCTGATCCCGATCGTGGTCACAGCGTATGTGATTGCTGGTGGTCTCCGGTCTACCTTTATAGCGGATTACACGCATACCGCAATTCTCTTCGTTGCGATATTCGTTTTTGGCTTCAGTATGTATAGCACGAACCCCGCGGTAGGTTCGCCGGGCAAGTTCTATGATATGCTCCTCGAGGCGAGTGCCAAGATGCCGATCAAAGGAAACCATGAGGGTAGCTATCTCACATTTAAGAGTAACGACGGTTTGGTATTTGCGATTGATATTTTCGTGTCCGGGTTTAGCACTGTGTGGTTGGATCAGGCGTATTGGCAGCGAGCTATTGCCTCCCGACCCGAGACAAGTGTGAAGGCCTACATCTTCGGGGGCATTGCATGGTACGGTATCCCGTTCGGCTTTGCGACGGCGATGGGGCTTGGATGTGCGGCTCTTTCATTCAGCCCCTCATTCCCTACATATCCGAACCCATTGAGTGCGGAGCAGACTGGGGCGGGTTTGTCCGCTCCTGCAACTGCTATCGCTCTCCTAGGCAAAGGGGGCGCGGGCCTGTTGCTCTTGTTGCTGTTTATGGCCGTCACCTCTTCTACGAGTGCCGAACTCATCGCGGTCTCGTCACTCCTAACCTTCGATGTGTACAAGACGTACATCAAGCCAAAAGCTACATCCACGGAACTGGTAAAGATTTCTCACGGCGGCATCGTGCTGTACGCCTTAGTTCTAGCTGCGTGAGTTGCTTCTATTCCACAATCCTCAAACCAAAGTCCGAACCACGCAGTTCCCATAATACTGATATCTGTGCACCACAGCTTCTGCTGCATCCTCAACGCCGCCTCCATCAACCTGACCTGGCTCCTCACCGTCCTCGGCATCATCGTAGGCGGTGCCTCAATCCCCGTCGGTCTCATCCTCCTCTGGTCTCGCACCTCCACCATCGCCGTCCTCCTCGCTCCCTGGATCGGTTTCTTCTGCGGTCTCATCGCCTGGTTCATCGTCACGCACTTCCGCTCCGGCGCCATCAACGTCGCCACCACCGGCGATGTCACCAACGCCGTCGCCGGCAACCTCGTAAGCTGGGGCATGGGATCCATCTCCGCCGTCCTCCTAAGTCTGGCCTTCCCCAAACGCTTCGCCAGTACAGACCCGGAGGCCGTCGCGCGCGCCAACAAAATTAACGGCATCGCACCACCCGCAAGCGCCACCCCATCCAGCCCCGCCAACCCCTCCATCGCCGGCGCCGCCGAAGAAGAAGAAAAGCACGAAAAACACCCCTCCACAACCTCGACCACACCCTCTCCCTCTCCGCCCTCCAACCCACTCCCCGACACCATCGTGCCCACCGGAAACGAAATCGTCGATTTTCTCGAGCGCTCGCACGTCGAGCCCATGGACCCTCTCGAAGTAGCGCGCGCGACGCGTCTCGCCGTCGGGTTCAACATCCTGTTCCTGGTGGTCGCGATCCTCTTCGTGCCGTTCCTGCTATTCGGCGGGTCGTGGATCTTCCTGCGCCGCATGTTCGTGGGGTGGTGCGTGGTTAGTTTTATTTGGGTGTGGTGCAGTATGGTGATTTGTGTCGTGTGGCCCATTGTGGAGAGTCGGGCTACGATCTGGGGCATTTTGGGGGGCGTGGTGAGGGATGTTGGGGGAGGGGGGAGGAGGAAGAAGAGGAAAGAAGGGGATGCGGAGGGGGAGGGGTCGGCTTAGATTCTAGATTTTTTGGGGGGGGTGGCTTTGCTTTGCATGTATGTAGATGCGCCGACTTACTGGTATATACCTTGCTTGTTTGATTTAATAGAAATAGAAATAGAAAGAAGTACAAGCTCTTGATCTTTGTGATGCTCTCCACCATCAAGGGAGATCCTCGCCCTCTATCTCCGCACGTACTGTATGCACCTAGATAAGATAAGAACTATCCTTTAATATCAAGACAGATAAGTACTTAGATATAAATAAACATCTCATAGGATCAGAGCAGTCGTATAGGTAGGAGACTGTCTTAATTGAAAATAGCCACTTACTTACATGATCTTCAAAGTAGAGAAGAGAAGAGATACCTTAGCTTACCTGCAAAACCCCATCATCCATCTCCAACAAAAAAGAGCACAACGGCTCATCTCATACTCTCAAATACGTACATACGCATTTTGCACCTTATAAATGCCAGATATATATATTATTATTTCAGCAGCTAAGTTTTGGCGGCGCAAACCGGGCAACCGTCCTTAATCTTATCTCTCAACAGTCTCGCATGTGTAACTTTCGCTCCAACACCGTGCGTCGTCGCAAACGTGCCGTCCTCGTCTAGCTCGATGTCCGGCGGGGTGACGGGTCTATCATCCTCATTGTTGTAGCTGAGGAGGTGGGAGAGGTGGAAGACGTGCCCGCAGGCAAAGCCGACTAGCGTCTCCATCTCGAATTCGGAGAATGGTTCATGGCAGCCGACGCAATGGCCCGCTTGAGGTCCTCCTCCCTTCTTCGCGGTTTGAGATGCGGTTGGTAACGCGGCGCTGTCGGGATCAATGGGCGCATCGGAGGTCGTGTTATCCGCAACGTCGGGTTTCTGGACGACGTCGAACTTTACCCCTCTATTCTGTCCAGCCCGGAGAGTGTTTTGCGCAAGCGCTACTTCACTTCTGAGGACCTTGGCAACGCCATAACTGATGCTATGTTGGATTTCGTATTCCCTGATCATGCGACTCAATCCCTCCCTCAATCCTTCAATTTCAAGACCTTCTGGAATCCGTCGTACGAGCCTGATTGGGTCGATAGCCGTGCCGACTTCCTCGAGTAGACCGCGGATGAAACGAGGTTTGTCCATGGAGTAGTTAAGGAGATCTTCCCAGAGATCTGCATCGTCTTGTTCTTTTGCAAAGGCGATGGCTTGGGAAACATCTGCGAGACGGTCGATGATCAAGTATAGGGCTCGTTTAGTTTGGCCTGTTTTGGAATAGAGATACACCAGCTCTGGGATGTAGTCTCTTTCTTCACATTCTGCCGTTGCCTATAAATCGATGAGTACAGTTCAACGGTGTGTAAAGATGAGTGTTTACCTTTTCGAAAGTGTAATACGTTGAGGATTTCAAAAAGTCCATTAGCAGCTCCCGATCATATAGAGCAAAGACACGGACTGCAAGATCGGCGAATTCATCGACTAGAGCTTTACTTTCAGCTGCGAGTCTGTCCCGAGTTTCGATGTTGCCTTCCTCAATTCCGTGCCCTCTCCACAGCGAGCTGAGATAAAAGAACAGGTATAGAGGAAGTTGCTTCTCCTGAAGCTGGTTCACTACAACTTCGGGCCGAACAAGACCATGCTGTGCTTCGGTTACTAGAAGGTTGATAGCCTCTGATGTCGTCTCGCGAAGCTCATCAATTGACGCACTGCGTTTCTGTTCATCCGATACGCGAAGCAAGATGAAGCCCGGAATGTCATCCGCAACTGCGTCGACCAAATGGTAATCCTTGATGAGCGACATAGCCGTGTCGGCATCCTGAAGTTTGAAATAGCATTTCAGAGCCTCCCGAGGTCGGCCGTCGGCTACATAAAGCTTGCCAAGACTTTCGACAATTATCCTCCAGTCTCGACCTGTTTCGCCATTCTCGACAGTGTCCTCTCGTACATCACGGTACTTCAGCTGGTTTTCGAGTGTAGTAGTGACGCTTTTGATGTCAAAAAGATCAGGTGACCACTGCTTAAGAAGTTGTCGTGCTCTTGGACGGTCGTGAGTAATATAATAACCCAACACAATCTCATATATGGTTGAATCTAAAGGTGGTCGCACTTGAGTAGTGGGTATGAAATTCACAATTTCATCGAATTTCTTTGCGGCGGCAAATGTAAACACCCACTCTTTCCATTGGTTTGAAGTCCCAAGAACCTTTCCACATGTCCTTCCCGCTTCAATCCAATCACCCTGCTCAATGAGTTGTTGTATCCAGAGTTCACCTACGCGACGCTTTTCCTTCTCAACCGATGAGTTAATTAGACGACTGGCTGATTCGACCGTAGAGGATGAATCGTCATAGAAATCATCGCTATTATCTTGAGACCGATCAGGAGCTCCTGGCCCGATCTCCGCAAGCTTCTCCGGAGATGAAGAGATAACTTCCGGATGCTCATCAATTAACTCCCAGGATTGTTGGTATTTGTGATGCTCCAGGAGAAATGATAGATGGTCTGACAGGTCCCTCTTGGTTGCCAATATGCAGTCGTAGGGGCTCTGGATGAAGATCTTCATACCAGGAGCCGCAATATGTGGATGCACTGGATAGCTGCGAGTCAAAAATTTCGGTCTTTGGGTACTAGCAGAACTCTGCGCTCTGGACTCCTTGTCGCTGCCGGTACTGCGAACACTCGCACCGGAACTGAGAAGTGATGTTGCATTAATAGTGGCATTCCACAGACCGCTTCCCATCCCAGTCAGGGTCTCCAGTGTTCCACGTGATGTCTGAGCGACTGGCAAGGAATGCGCAGCTGGAAGGACGCCCAAATGGTAGTCGGCAGCCGACAATCTTTCAAACCGACTAACAGTTAATTGATCTGTATCAACCTCTTCGGAGGAACCAAGATCAATAAGGCGAAGTTCTGGGGATAGAGCATTTTGACGATGCCTTATCCCACCTCGTGGTTCGCTACCAGAAGATGCAGTCGAAGGCCTAGTCTTGTGGTCTTTTGATTTACCATCATCTCCTTCCTCTTTATTTTCTTCGGGCGTAATATAAGAAAGTACAAGAAGCAACGTTGGGGTATATAACGACAATCCAGAAACAATGCAATCCATGCGTAAACTGGAAATGTCAGTTGCTACAGCAAACTCAAATGGAGACACTCACATTTTAATGATTTCAGCCCGTCCCACACTCCGCTCTCCCACATTTTTCCCTACACCATTTTCCCCTGGGTGTACATTGATGATCCATATAGTTCCTCCCCACCCAACGAGGAGCTTGTCAATGCGTTTACTACTCTTTGATGCCTGCTGTTTCAATTTTGCTGTAGCAGGCGTCGGAGCAGCAGCTTCTCTGGCATTGTCGTCTTCATCTGTTTCAAGTGCCTGTTCATCGATCCACTCGACCCGCGGTTTCCACACTCCAGCCATTTCTTCCCATCCTCCGTCCTGTGGTCGACCAACATGGCCTACTCGTTTCCACGCAGAGTCGGAATCGGTACTCTCTAAGTGCAAATGCGATCGCATGATTCTGATACCATGTTCATTGACCCAAACGACGTATTTTCCGGAGAGCGACCATTTAAGCGTACTGATGATGCCTTCTCCAGAGTGTAAGACAGTATCGTGGCCAGTATTACCGCCTAATCCAAGACTACTGAGCCAGCCTGATGCAGTGGCTGATGCAGTCCCCGCCGTACTTGATGTGGAACTCGTGCCTGGCCTACCACCAACGGTGAGGACGAGATTTCCAGCCAGACCCCCTGAGATATAGGTCCGATCATTTTTGTAGTCCGGTGAAAGTGCCACAGCCTGTACAGGACGCGCAAAGTTTCGTAGTTGAACATCTTTCATATCTACCAAAGATGCTATGCAGACATTGCCGTCAATCGACGAAGTCGCTATGTATATGGCATTGGAAGGAATGTTCGGAAGGGTTGGCGCTTTCGGAGCTCGAAGACTATTCGTGGATATCTTTGATGTTGTAGATGGTGGTCTTTGCGGTATTTGTCCTTGAGACACAATTCTACTAACACCTTCGGGGACAGCACTTGGTAGTGGCGGAGGGAAGGGGGATATAGAAATGCTGGTGACAGATGCAGTATGTGCCGTGTAGAATCGGAGGGATTCGAATGATGGCAACGATATTACATGCTGGACAAGGAATCAGCTTCCTCTCAATATGCGCTGCGCGAAGAGGCATGACACTTACGATGTTGCCATTATGTGTCCCAATAAACTATATAGTATTCAGCAAGTAACCAGTCCACGCAGTCTGCGCCAGACCTACCATCTTGTCCCCAGCAACTAGAAACGCGCTCGTAGCATCACCATTCCGATACACAGGTCCTAGGTGGCCTGTTAATCGCGCGTATTTCAACTTGGGCTCGTCGTCCTCCACGTCCTCCTCGTCCTCCTCTGAATCGCTCTCTGCCGCTGATTCGCTGTCATCCTGACTTTCTTCTTCACCTGGATTTGGCTCCTTTTCTTTCCCCTTGTTCGTCTCTTCCCGGTTGTCAGAAGCCTCGGCCATGGCAGCACACCGTCGTGATCACATTTGTCGCTGTGTTGCTGGCAGGGATGCTGCGTCGACCGACGTCAATGGAGCTCAAGCTCTGGATGACTAAGATAAGCGGGAGTCCAAACGTTTTGGCCGAGCTGGTATTTAAGTTTCGAGACTTGGATCAACAATCATGGAAATTGATTGTGGAAGACCAATGATCTCCAGATCAATACAAATTTCCTATACTGGTCATGCAGGGTTTCTGTCGACAGTTCTCGTTTCCAGGTACCAGGCGTATCCTCACTGATGGCACCCCGCGACCCCTGCGGCATCTGCACGCCTTCGCCGCAGCGCAAGCTCCAAGAAAACGAACATTCTTTTCCTCCAATGCGGCTCTACAGCAAGATGCCGTTCCTTCTACGGATGGTGGCATAAAAGAAATCCCACCTGCGCAAAAGAGAAAACCTATAAGAACTCCCCCGGGGAAGACGTCGTTGAGGAGGGTGGCGGTCGAGGCGCAAAGGTCCAGGGCAAATGTACTTCGTCAACAAGATGCAATCGGCAGAGGGGAAGGTAGTAATAGAGTTACTGCGCTCTCAGTGGCCGATCAATTCGATATGGATGTTGTGGTCAGGATTCTACGGTCTCACGGCTTTCCAATCGATCCGGATGGAACCGGCTTCGACACAGATCAAGTCATACACACCCGAGGGGTAAACAATGGGGATATCTTTGTCTTTCCCTCTGGCTCATTAGTTTCATGGTCTCTACCAGAGGATGTTGCTTATGATCTGGCTACCAAATCTTTACTCCCTGCCGCGATCAATCCCCATGTGGATCAGATGGAGATGGAGGACTTTGAATACGAAGAAGATCCAAACCGAGACAGCAGTAGCATCAAGGGAGACGTTATCGTCCTGGGCACTAATACCGGCTCGCAAGCTGAAGAGTAGGTTACGGGTTATACTCTGCGAAACAATTTACTAATTAATTATTTAGCTCCAAGGTCGATACAACCTTTGCGAAGATTGCCTTTTCATCAGGTCTTGCCCGATCTACGAAACTCGCTGTAGTAGAAACCATGTTAGGAAAATACTTTGAATCTACGAGGACCATTCCAAGTCTGCTGTCCCGAGGCTCACGTCTTCCGTTCGACCGAAGGTTCATGCTACAAAAAACAGGAGAATTACTTGAGTTGAGGGCACAATTGAACCATTATTCAGAACTGACAGATTCATTGCCGGATCTCTTCTGGGATAGTAGACATGAGCTGGGCCTCGAAGGTTACTATGACCAGGTTGGACGGGCTCTCGACGTCGGTGTTCGGATCAAGACCTTGAACGAGAAGATGGACTATGCTCAGGAGATCGCCAGCATCCTCCGACAGACCATGAGTGAGAAGCACAGTATTCACCTTGAATGGATTATTATCAGCCTTATTGCGGTTGAGGTAGCATTCGAGCTTCGGCGCGAATGGAAAGAGAGGAATAAGAGACTCGCAGAAGCGGAAGAATAATAACCTCCAGCTGGACCGTGGTCCTTGTTGACTTATCAGATCAGATGATTTTCTTTGCGGCGTTTCAAAATTCGAGACCAAAATACCCCTCAATCCTAGATCCAAAACATCAATATTAGAAATCCCAATCTGGTCCGTGGAGAATGGCCTATCATACAACTCTATTCTTAGCAAAAGGCAATTCTGGGTATATGCTCCAGAGTACTTACGCAAAGAACTCAGCCAGAGACAACCACCTTGGCCTTGTGTCACTTGGCTCAAACAATCGGCGTTTGTTTTCGATGATCGAAAATCTATAGTTGGGATAAACTTTTAGATATCTTGAGAGATCACAAGAATAGAAACCCGAAACCTTGTCACCATAGCCATCCTCCTCCACATACACCTCGTCGATATTCATACTACGTCGATTTTTATACCGCAAAGCCCACTCCAATTCCTTTGACCCGTGTTCCATTCAAACCTTTCCTTCTACCTAGTCATCCGTCTTCTCTCTGCCTTCTCCACAATCAACAACAGTATCCACGATTTCACAATCATCGGCTGCATATCGAATCTACCCCCCCCCCCCCCCCCTTTCAACCCACAAAAACAAAAAACCACCTCTACCTCCGCTCTGCTCTGCGTCGAGTATTTCTTGAGTGCGAACATCCTTTACAGGCATAATATGATTTTTTTTTCTTTCTTGTTTATCCTCTCGGAGAAGTGATGCAAGGAAAAAAGAATGCTGCCGGGTGGTTGGCGTTACGGGGAAGAGATCAGGATTTCTACTGGACGTGAGTTTTAGCTCCTGAATCTACTAAGAAGTATAGAGGACGTTCCTCTGATATCTAGTAATAGCTTTAAAGACAATCATCTTAAGATAGCCCTTTTAGAATTTAAGAGAAAGCGTCGAAACGATTGCATCTATGGAAACTCCGGGAATATTACAGCCCCTTGGCGGGCAAAACATTCAGAGTTTGTACGATCGAAGGCTACGAGAATGAAGTAGAGCGATATACCAACGCAACATGGAAAAAAAGAAATATTATTGGAAAGAAAACAACTATAGCAATCTAGACTTGCACAAAATCATCATCCACATCCACATCCACGTCCATCCTATCACCGAGGTCCACAAAAACATCATCCGCAGGTACGGTCGGGCGAGCGGTAGTAGCTGGGGTCTTATTCCTCCACGACGAAGAGATCAAGTTTCCAAGACCTGGAAGTTGGCTTTTGAGTTTCCCCAACGGACTTCGCGGGAGAGGCGACGAGCTAGGTGTCTTGGGGCCCGCGGCTGAGGTTTTGGAACCTGGGGTTCCCTGGGTCAAGTCTGGACTTAGGGTTAGTGATGGGACGCTCAATCTTGGGAAAGAACCGAAGAGACCCGTGCTTCCCATGGCAGCTGTCGGAGCGTTAGGCGTCAGAAGTTCCCTGTCCCGCATGTCGAGCTCGAAATCTGAAGTGTCGATTGTCCAGGCTGTGGGTGGTTCGGGGTTGGTTATCTTGGTAAAGGGGATGTCTCGGGAGCGTAGACTTGATGGTAGGAGAGGGGCTGTGTGTCTCGCTGCTTCAAGAGCAGTTTTCAAACCTTCAGTAGTGCGTCGGACAAGCTCAATGGACGTAGGTCGCGCGAGTGGTTCTCGCAATAAGCAGTCTTTGATCAACTGTCTCAAACACAGAGAGTAACGATTGATACAGTCCGGTGTGTCTAGACCAATACTATGGTTATAGCCTAACCCCAAGGTGGGAGCGTAGTGTTGGCTTCTATCAAGCTTACTCTGAAGGTTGAAGGCTTCCTTGTTGAAATGAATCTTTTTTCCTTTGAGAAGAATGTTCATTATTGCCCCAAGTTGCCAGATGTTTGAACAAGTCCCTTTCCTAGGATGATGGATTGGAATATGGGGGAATGAATGGCCCAGTTGTTCGCCCCTGTTGTTTTCCCTAAACGTGTTTTCCTAATATTGAAACGTTAGGTTCGGCTTTTTCCTACTTGATTCAAGTATTGAAATTGGTGTATAACCGCATGATTCTGACACTTACGGGTGGTGATAGCTCAATGTTCCCTCTGTAAGTGACAACTGACCCGTATTCATCATTTTGGACTGCCTTATCCGCAACCCACAGTGCTTCGCCAAAATCTGCAATCTATGGAATCCGGTCAGCTCTTGTCAAAGTATTATCTTTGTTTGCATAAAGAATCCATAGGAGGAAATCGGGTTTGCATGCCTTGAAAATAGGAAGCCTTTGGTGATCTCTGTCTCTGTAGCCAAGGAGAACTGAGTGTTATAAGTTAGCCTCTCAGCCGGATTATGGACGATCCCTCCGCTCCAGATGCTTCATGCTTACTATTATCAGGCTTAAGGTCAAAGTGACAAAGTTCAGGTCTGTCAGGGGGATCTCCGCCCCAAGCTGGTTCATCGATATTCTCTGTCCCGCGGTCCATTACCGCAACACCTTGCGCAAGGCACTTGAAGATTGTCCAGATATCGAGCTCAGTTAAGAGGGGATGTGGTGGTTGTTCAAACCCAGCAACAAATTGGTCCAGATCGCCACCTGGGCAGAACTCAAGATATATCCGGACGACGAAATCCATGTCTAAAAACTTATCTCCCACATGATTCCCACCGTATTGGCGAATAATGTGATTTGAGTTAAGCCCTGCCAATACAGAGAGAATGTTCCCTTCATCCATTGCTGACTTTCCACCCCAAACTTGGTTGAAATCGTCCATACGTTCATCCGTAGATTGTTTCACGACGACTTTTGTCACTTGGGGAGCCGTGGCCGGATCTCCTTGGTACTCCCAGAGGCCGATGATCCCAAAGGCCCCCTGGCCAAGAAACTTGGTACCTTTCCAGCCATCTCCGAGTTTTTGTGACCATTTAGGCTCAGAATCCAAAAATGCCTGCTTTTGGCTGTCTTTAAAAGCAAGACCCACTCCTTCATACATGGCCGTTATCTTGAATCTCAATTATCTTTCGAAACTTCAAAAGGCGCAATGTCGAGAGGGTAGCAAGAGTTGGAAAATAAAACATTCTGCAAAAGAATACCACTTTCAGACCACCAAATATTAGACATCAAATAATAAACAAAAGATTGCTGCTGAGTCGTTTCTTTGTCCGATGACCAAGATTCTTTGATACTCAATGTCCATGTCTGCTTTAGGGATCATTGTAGGAACACTCGTTTTTGCATAATGAAAAGAAAATGAACAAGAACAAAGAAATTCCCTCATCCGGAGAGTTGAGAGGAAGCATGTATGTTCATGCCGAATGTTTTTGCTTTCGGCCGTCGCGACCAGGCATTGCCGCATTGGCACAATACACTTATTGCGTTACAGGATGCAAGATCTGACTGGGCTGATCATAGTGCCGCTATAACAGAGGAAGATAGTAAAAGAGGAAATGGTTTACGGAGTGGAAGTGATGTTACTCGTGCCAACTGCTGTATAGTGGTGGAGAGGCAGCGGAGAGGAATGGCGGGGGAAGAAACGACTGCCATCAATTCTACGGTCACCTGCATCTCCAACCTCGGACATTTGCTAAGAATAGACGAGGCTGAACTGTGCCTCAATAATCTTGACAACGCCCCAATCTCATGATTTTCTGCTGGTATAACTGACAGTTTGGACGCCAATTATAATACTGATCTCTAACAAAATCACCAATAAGATCGCCACAATGGCTCATCCTAGAGTATTGATTCCAATGGCGGATTACGGCCATGATCCAACAGGTGAGCGGGCTATCTCTCCAACTTATCGTGAAGATACTCATCTTCGATGATTTTCTCAGAGGTCGCAGTCCCATATACCGCATTTAAGGAAGCGGGTTTTGAGGTCCAATTCGCGACTGAGGAAGGCAAGACGCCGGAGTGTGACAGGAAGATGCTCAAAGGCATCACTCAGAAGTTACTTGTATTATCTGCACTCCTTTAGAGCTACATTTACAGATATTAACATGGGAATCGCATCAAGGGCGCGACTAGATCCGCAGTCGAAGCCTATAATGAGATGTCAGCAACCCCCGAATTCAAAAACCCTCTCTCCTGGTCATCCCCCGACTTCAATCTCAACTCTTACAACCTTGTCTTCCTGCCTGGAGGGCATGAGAAAGGAGTGAGACAACTTATCGACTCGCCCATAATGCACAAGCACCTCGCAACATATTTTCCCGCCACGGTAAAACCCAGCTCGAAGGCAGTGGCTGCGGTGTGCCATGGGGTGATGGTGCTTTCCGAAACAGAGGGAGAAGATGGGAAGAGCGTCATACATCAATGCACAACAACAGCTTTACCAGCTAGGTTTGAACAGATCGCATTTTGGGGTACCAGAGCAATACTCGGGGATTATTATAAGACGTATGGAGCGGGTAGTGAGAATGTTGAGCAGTCGGTAAGTTCGAGTATCTGAAATGTGGACTTGCGTTATCTAACGAAGGGAAAGGTGCGGAAACGGTTGGATGACCCAAAAAAGCAGTATAAGAATAGCCTCAGATTGAGACCGTAAGTATGGAGATCAGGAAATGGGTTGACAGCTTCATTGACCAGTCCCCAGATTCGTGGTTCAGGACCAGAAATACAATTATATCAGCGCGAGATTTCCAGGAGATGCTCAAGCACTAGCAGAGAAAGTTGTTGCTTTAGTTCAAGCACAAGGTGGAGCTGATCAAGTGTTCCTTGAAAGTATACTTCGAGATACGCTGCGGGGACAATAAAGAGATGATATTCGGTCACTACTTCCCTGCCTTTGATGAAAGAACATCATGGTCAATCAATATCTTCTGACAAAAGTTTGAAAGGACGCATCGTAGTCGAGATTTATGTCTACCTTTGTTTCCAACTTGTGATGCAGGAAAAAAGTTATTTTGAGGTATACCTAGCTACCAATTCGAATCCTTTGTTTCAAATAAGAAGTTCAGAACAAGGAATTGTTATGCCAAGATAGAAACGATTACCATAAGAGTCTTATGCTGTTCATATAAATATATCTAGCATAAGCTCAATACTCTCTTTCCCAAACTATCCCCATCAACATTCAAGAATTCATGCCTTACACTGGCAAGCAGCCATAACACAAGAACCCAGGTGAGTCGTTCCCCAGCCCTTTATAGTATATTGAGAATTCCTATGCGCGTCATCGCAGATGATGTGCATGCCTCTGGGCACATGACAGAAACAGATCTCACTTGCAAAACGATTCGCGATGGAGGATAGAAAATTATTCTACAGGGAAGGACTTCCCCACGGCACTACCCTCACTGCAGAAATATCCTTCCATGCTTTCATGCCGCTGCTGCCTGCTCCGTCGCCTTCTGGCACGATGGCCATGGAAACCGAGGATATAAAAATTTGAAAATGCCAGGGGGGAAACCATCAAAAAAGGGGTTGGTTGAAATTTGACTGATATTAAGGAGGGCGCGTGGACCCATTTGTCTACTATAACGATAATAAACACCCCTGCTATTAAATCTGATCCAGGACTAGGTGATTGAAAGGCAGCATGTCAAGTATATTAAATCTGATTTCTTTTGGTTTCTCCGATTCTCTCTTTATGCTCGAATCAGGCTGTGCTGATGCCCGCAAGGCCCTTGACCAGGAATGAAAAGAAGATTTTCAATGATCGAAACAGTTGTACAAGTCAATCAAATGAAGATAATCTACCGAGGAAAGGAAATGATAAGAGCTTTAGGCGTTCTGTATGATCAAGCATATGCCCAAGATACAACCTGATGAGCGTAGTTATATGTGTAGAATTATAAGATCCGACTTTCTTCGGTGTCGTCGGCTACACGATTTGCCACTCTGTATGAAGCGGGGATGCTTTCCTCCAACGCTTGCTGGGGTTTAAATTGCCATTGTCCACCAATAGGGATTGGGAATTTGGGCTTTCGTTCAACGCAGGTACCAATAATGCGCTGCATGCCTGCGATATCTTTGACTTCAACTGGTCGACTGGACCAACCTCGCGCACCGCGCTCCACAGTGAGTCAACGCGTCTTTGGTGTTGACAGTGTTGTCGTGTTCTGAGCCAACCATTTCTAGCGCCGTCGAGGGTCTGCCGGAACCCTGGCTTAATCCTGGCCGCCGTGCTGGGTCCGCGTAACCGCTTTAGGAGATAGGTAAACAATATGATATCCATGTTTATGCTTGGGTCTGTATTTCCGTCTTTCAAAGGACTTGTTTTCCCCAGGTACGCGTCGTGGGTTCTCTTCTTCTTTCTGTTTCTTCTGGAAAGAAATATATGTTCTATCGTCGACCAACAAAACTTTCAATCAACCTCGGCTTTCGAATGAGACTCGGGTTCTGCCCCGATATCCGCAATGGCAGACCTTGATATACCGAATTTTGCGGACGATGACCGCCCCATAGCCCTTCGCAAGATGAGACGCAGTAGTAGTGGTGTGAAGTCGTCACGTCCACGATCCAACCCCCAAGTCTTAATACCTCGATCCTACGGAATATCATCCCCGCCAGAGACGCCTAAGAAGTCCAGGAAACGCGTTCGATTCTCCGATCCAGGACCAGAAATCCAATCGGACTTGGCATCGTCAGGTCTTACTCCATTTATTCGCCGGACGTCTCTTTCAGCGCCTACTTCAAACCGTCGCCATTCTGCTCCAATAAAGCTATGGAATCGTGCTGGATATGATGTCCCTTTGTCTGGGACAATACAATTCGAGCCATTGAGACAAGTCCTAGATGGTAGAGTGAGAAGGAGGCTGAGGAGGAACAGGCTTAGTGAGGAAGTTAACAACATCGAGTGGGATAAGAGACAGGAGGCAAAAGCTCGCAAGACAGAAGTCGAAAAACTCAGAAAACAATTGGAACAGAAAGACTTGGAGATGCAGACTATGAGAGATGAGCAAGATCTTGCGAGTCAAATCGAGGGCGAATCGGGGATTTCTGTCAACGCAGACATTACCCTCGGTATTAAAGTCCGTGAGCTAGAGCAACAAATTGTTGACCTGAAGGCTGCTCTTCAAGAAAAGGAGTCTGATACTACGCAAGATCCCAATTGGACCATGGCTGCCCGAGATCCATTCGATTTTGACGATGATGACGATGATGATAACGATATGATGATCACGAATTATGACGAGGACTTCGGAGAGATCTCGATGAATGATGAGCTGATGACAACTCCCACGCGTCTGAATACTTCACTCCTGTCTCCACCATCAACGAAGCTAGATACCCCATATACATCGACATCCCGTAGCAACGGCACACAAACGACAGATCCCGTTCCAGATCCGGAGAAAGAAGCTCTGAGAGCTCAGCTTGAGTCTCTGCAATCAGAGATATCCAAACTGACATCAACAATTGCATTCAACGATGACAATCGCTCACGCCTCACAGAGAAACTCTCACAGTTCCTTCCCGTCGATGAATCGCGTGACCACTCATCGCTTGATTCGGCTCTCGACACTGTTCTCACTCAACTTGCTCTTTCGCAGGCTCACGCAGTGGAACAAAGCAACGCATTTTCCGCCCTGAGTAATGAGATCGCGAGTCTCGGGTTTTCATCTTGCTCTGGCCCGGAAGAAATGCTTGCGACTATCGCAGCACAGTTCCGGCAAGCGAGACTCGATCTCGAGTATCTCACCCCAGGTGAGGTAGTTGAAGGTTTCGAGAACGAGAAACTGCTCGACATGCTAGTTTCACGCATTAGAGTCTTGCTTCAGAAGGTCAAGGAAAGCGATGATAGTATTGATCAATATCATGAGCAAGAAGTGTTGTTACGCCAGCAGATCAACACCCACGTTAGCGCATTTGATGATGTACAGAAGGAGTTGTGCCTCGCGAACACTGTGGTTGGAGATTTGAGAAGCGAAATCCAAGAGAAAGAAACCACCAATGAGAGGTTACGGGCTGCCTTGGAGGGCTATAGAGATGAGGTTAAGGGGCTAGAGAACTTGATTGAGAGAATGGAGAGAGAGGAGGTCTTGAGGGAGGAGATGTTCAAGAGCGAGGTGAAAGAAGTGGAGGATAGGCTGCAGAGTGAGATTTTGAGACATGATACAACAAGAGCGAGCGAGGAGGGGAAGGATATCATTAACATGGAGCTGGAGAGGAGGCTAAATGCAGCTCTCCAAGCTGTAGCAGAAGTCCAGGAGCAGATAACTGCCCTTGCGGCTTCGAAAGAGTCTCTTGTTGCGGAGAAAGACCTTACTATCCAGCAATTACAAAGTTCAGGGATCGACAGAGAAAGGGAACACGGTGAGGCACTTGCTCTTCGCGATGCCAGGATCCTGGAACTACGAGGAGAAATCGAACGCGTCAACGAGGCATTGAACTCAGCTCATTCCACTATCATGACCCTAAGAAAGGAAAACAATGAGCTCGAGACTCGGGTACAAGACGAGAGGACGCGAGGACAGTTTGTCGTGCAATCAATGCGTGAGCAGTTGAACCGCGTTCTGGATACCGGACTCGGATATCTCAATGGCGATACATCACTCCAGACGCCGAGCACAGAGGGGACTACCCCCGACGTAGGATCTTCGACATCACAGCAGGCAGTTGTGAGGAACGGGAGATTCCTTGATGCAGACTTAGCAAAAAGGAGTGGGAAGAAAAGGAGAAGATATGACAGTGGGTTAGGGTTCTTGGAGGAAGAAGACGCAGGGGAAATGGATATGGGGGTTGAGGTTTGACCTAAGTCTGTCCCTCGACATGAAGATTCGCTTTGTATCTTTCCCGAATGATTAGAGTCTGCTGTTCTGTTATGATCTACGATAATGAAGAGTAATTGTAATTATGGAAATGTTAGGTACCTGATGTCAAGTCCCAAACCCAATCTATGGTCACGTGCATAGACCACCTTGGCAACACGTCCATCCACGCGCATGAAGCAACGTCTTCCGTTTCAACATCCATCCTCCTACACCACTTATCACATCCAGCCAAAATTACCAATTACAGTTGTTCAGAATTACAGTACATTACTCTTCATTATCGTAGATCATGATAGAACCTCAAATCTCCTACCACGCCGGAAAGGTACAAAGGGGATTCTCATGTCGAGGGACAGAATAGATTCATGCCAAACCGCAACCTCTATATCCATTTCCCCTGCGTCTTCTTCCTCCAAGAACCCTAGGCTCGTGTACTGTTGGAAGTAAACGTTCGTTGTAGCACAGTTCCATGCATGTCGACCTAGACATCGCTTTCTTTTGCGGGTGACTCAAGATTAGGTTCATCTCCCTCAGTGATATCCTCAAAGCCTAAAGCCTTCTCATCTTCTGACCATCCATCGCCATCGAGGGGTTCCTCCTCAGATTTGGGCCCAAATGGATCTGGCCAACAAAACTCATCTACGTCCGCCCAATGTGGAAGATCGCATCCCATAACTTCGATCACTGGAGTGGCATACCCTGCATACTCCTCCTCCCTTAAAAATCGCGTCTCCACATCTTCCATGATATACTCCCCGTAATGACGATTTACCTCAGTCAAGTAGTTAAATGGCCCCTTACCAGGAGGAACGGCGTCGTAACGAGGAAAACGTCTGTCCCAATCAACGTCATAAGGCGCAAAATCATTCTCCTTGATACGACACTCAAGCTCAGTATTGATATCGTTGCCGATCAAGATTATGAGAACTGAGAGATTTGGGAAAAAATGCCGGATAATGCATTCGCAGTCGTCATATGTACCAAAATAGAATGTTTCCCGATTGATGGCCAACGTTGTGACATGCTGGAAAAGATCAGGCCTACCTATCCATTTGTCACTTTCTTCCGTGATAGTATCAAATATAGCATCAAATATATCCGCTGGCCTCCAGCGTTGAATACTGCGTTCGAGGCCGGGCAAGGTGAAGCCATAGCCATTCTTAGCAAAGTCCAAGTTTTTGAGGTAGAGAATGTCCCAGTCGAAACGAATCCATTCGGGGCCAGCAATGCTCATGGTGACGTCCGTGTAATTCTTGTATTCCTTCAAAATCTCCTGTCGCGATTCTTTGCAAGTAGAAAGAAGAGGGGGCGGGTTCGTGTTTTTGAATTTCCAACGTTCATTGGACAATCCGACAGTGCCAGATATTCGACGGGGGTCATCCATTTCCTCTACCTCGACAATCCGGGGGACTGAGATAGCATGATGCCAAATTCGAATGCGGATTTCGGCGGGCAGTCTCGGGAAGAGCGTGAAAGAGCCGGTGGCCGGTGGTTCTCCACAGTAAGAGGCAATTGTTGCATTGCGAATGATGTATTGCTCCACGGGTGTATAATCACTTTCCGGTGATGAAGGCAATGGCTCCATGTTGGGCTCCATGTTGGGCTCCAAGTTAGTTATCCTGGTGGCTGGATGTGATCAGTGATGTAGGAAGATGGATGTTGAAACTGAAGATGCGACTTGGGTGCGTAGATCGACGCGTCGCCAATACGCGAAACGAGGAGACGCGCAAAATCCGGAAACACTACAACGAGCGTTAACATTTAATTGTACACCAGCTTTCTCTCAATCTCCAGTCATCGATACGTAGAATTTTCAACCATGGCTTCACATTCCGGCTTGACTGTAGACGAATTCCGCCTTCTGTCCTGGACGCGTCCTGAACTCTCGAGAAACACGATCCAACCCGAATCGTTGGAGAGGCATTGTCCACTCGACAACGGCAGACTCGAAGGACACCACACGGTCTCGCCGTCCAACATTCAGGTTAGGCTATTTGACACCGGGGATCTGCGAGCTCTTCCCCTGGAGATTGCCTATCTGATTCTCAGCTTGCTTGACTTGAGAAGCCTAACAGACTTCAGAGCTGTTAGCTGGGGATGCCGCGCTCTCGTTGACAGTCTGCCGCAATACAAAGCAATAATCCAACACGCGCCAAATGCATTACGTGCGTTATTATCCACCCATATGGCTGTTCACTTCACTACCCCAAACCTTTTCGAAGCCCTGTGCACACAAGTTTGCTTCGGTTGTGGACAATTTGGACCTTTCCTCGACCTGTTTACTTGTTATCGATATTGCTTGGCCTGTGTCATCGATTCTAATGACCTATTGTCTACACCCATATCTACGGCCAAGCGGGAGTTTAATCTAACTTCGAGAATGATACGCACATTGCCTACATGTTTAAGCCTCCCTGGCCAATATACCGAGAGTGAAAGGACATATCAGAGACGAATCTCTTTAGTACGGGTACAATCAATCATGGCTACTCGAACAGCGCAGCCGGATCACCATGCATTATCACGCCGCAGACAAGGACAGCTGGGCACATCTCTTCTACAACCATCGATACAGCAAGCGCCTCAACGATGGGATGGTCATGGGCAGAATCCATATCGGTTCATGCCAATGGTGAGAATCCCCGCTCTAAATCAAACAACTGGAAAGCTGGATTGGGGAGTGTCTTGCCAAGGTTGTCGACTCGGACCCCGAGACGAGAATCGTGGGTATTACAATTGGAATACTTTATACTCTGCTGCTGGGTTTCTAGAACACTTTCAAAAATGTGAAGTATCACAGGTAGGGAGAAAGGTAGTGCCAGAGTACATTACACATGCACCAGAAGATCAACGGCGTTCTCATTCTCAATTCTTGGGATATCTCAGTAATTTAGTCATTTGAGATTATTGCATCTCGATGCGTGACTGAAATCAATCTCATTGCTAGGGAATTGATTGTGTTCATGCCTGCTATAGAACCGACACGAGAGATAAAGAGCAATACCGCTTTTTATCCGCTATTGTGTTGTCTGGCTGCTAGGCATTGTTCAAGGACGCTGGACATGATAGTGAAGGTTTTCCTAATATAAGCCTTGACTCGAAATGCAAATTGCAATGCACTTGGTATTCCTAGGACAAGGTAATTAGAGCCCGGTCTTGAGTCAAATTGTCCTCTTATAAAGAGTTATAGTTGTAGATGCCTCTTTTGGAATTGGCATCTGGACCAAGATTAGTAACTGACGTTTGTGGCATTGACATTCGGACTGTGACTGTGACGGGAGCTAATAGTCGGCTCGCTTACCAATAGGGGTATATGAGCTTCCCTCCGTTCTTTCTTCCTACCTACCTCCTGCCTAAAATTCAGACTGACACCAACAGAAGCGCAGAGTGAGATTCCCAAACATCCACATCTCACACACCCATATCTCAAACGCCCCCATTTCTGCCCGTCTGACTCTGTCTTACTGCCAATACAATATCGTAATGGCTCATCCTTTCGAGGGTTTGGGTATGCCATCAAGTCCACCAGCATCCAGCAATAATTTGAGCCAAGCTCTACAAAGAACTCTCTCCAAAGGTTTCCCACATTGGGGTAGCTTCGCGGGCAAAGCTGTTCGAGCAACTTTCACAATAAAGATGGACGGCAACTATGATTACTTCTACACTTCTGACGATCCCGACGAGCTTTTCGAACTTGCGCAGGGATTTTTCGAGGAGATCCAGATCATGGCTGCAGCATTGTCAGAAAACCAAGCTAGTGCATATGGAGAATTCCTAACCACTGCATTTGCGGAACTCATTTTTGGCTCTAATCTGATTGAGAATGCAGGCTTGGGTCATGATGTTACCATCCGTATCTGCAAAGTAATTTTTGAGGGCAGAATCGAACCATCTACTATCCAGCTCCGGGACGATGAATACGAACAGGCCTTGGAAGAACTCAAGCTTCGCCACCTTGAGTCAGATCACAGCACAGTCATCCGCTCTCGAGCTGAGATTGTTCAGCATGCCCTAGCATTGAAATACCTTACGACGCACATGATCGAATTGAATAAGCCTCTTTCAGAAGAACTCCTTCTACAAACCCACGAGATCCTTACCGATGGCATTGATGGACCAGATGGAGATCAATCTGCAACATACTCGGGGATCTACAGAACAGAGGTGGTGATTGCTGGGTTCTCGAACTTCACACATCCGGGACAGATTCACTCCGCTATGAGAGCCTTGGTTGCGGACTTCAATAACGACATGAAAAGGGCGGAGGAAAAAGGGGAGTTGGATCCATATTATCTCGCGGCCAAGTATTGCCACAAGTTCGTTAATATCCATCCATTCCTCGATGGCAATGGTCGTGTCTGTCGACTCTTGTTGAATGCGATATTATTGAAATACGCTGGCATCGTGGTTGTTCTGGGTGAGAAGGAGCAAGAGCGTGAGACATACCTGGAGATTGCAAGCAGAGGAAGCATGGATGAACAGGTACCAGAGGATGAGAGATCCAGAGTACCTTGGGGAGGTTTAGCCTCATATGTCATCAAGAAGGGTACGATGAAGATGGAAGCACTTAGAGATACGCTGAAGATGGCCAGCAATGCTTAGATTCTGTTACCGAGGGGAGTTTGAGGCGTAATTGCTATCATGGTGATAGACTCGAGATACCAAGATGGAGATGAAAGCACTCAGAGATACATTGAAGATGGCCAGCAATGCTTAGATTCTGTTTGTGCTGGGGTAAATTTGAGGCGTAATTGCTATCATGTCGAATAGACTCGAGATACCAATATTCAAATTCCAAACGTATTTGACACACGGTAGACCCAGTTCCTTCGTGTCCACGCAGCCTTCGGGGCTTTGACTCCTTTTATTGCTATAGGTGCTTGAAGGAGAGTAGAAACTTGACTGAGCACGGGGAGCAAAGCTCGGAGCGAAAGCAGCTAGAAAGAGAATGCGTGGCGCCGTGGCTAGACCAAGTAACTACATGAAGAGCTGAACAACACACGGCATTGTACAGGGGTTTTATGCCGCTGCCGGCACACGAGAGAAAAGAGCAATACCGCTATTTACCCGCTATTGTGTTCTGGCGGATACGAAGGCGTAAGGTACCTAGGTAGATAATTCCTAGTATAACGTTTGACTTGAAATACACAGAACTTGTTACAAGTGCTGTAAAAGGTAAGGTAGGTAGGTGTAAACTAGGAGGAGATGCGGAGATTTTTATCAGGAATTCACGCGATCCCCCGCGGCCGATCGACAGACATCACGGGACGGGCCTATCGGCTGAAATCCCCTGAATCAACAATCGAGGACCATCCCTGATCGGGAGTAGGCCGAGAACCCCCTTATCTTCCTGTGCATACGAAGTACGAGGTCAACGTACGTCCTTCGTGAATGCCCTCTTTTTCTCCCTCCCTCTCTCTCTCTTTTTCTTTTTCTCTTTCTTTTTTTTCTTTCTTCTCACTGTGTTGTTGCATACTATCGTTAACTGTGTTTTGCGCAAGACTGTATCTGGAGCATTTGCTTTTCTTCATAATCCTAATTGCTAGTACATACGGGATACCCTCCTCGCGAGCTGTGTGGGAGTGGGATACGAAGTCGATACAGAGTATTTACACTACTAATACCTAATATCCACCATCGCAATGAGGGCAAGATTCAAGACTACGACGGCGCTCCTCCTCGCCGCGAGCAGTCTCCCACTCAGCAGCGCCTTCAAGAGCATCTCGATCAACGAGACAGTGCACGCCAACGAGACCATCGCACTCCGCATCTCCAACGACCTCTCCGCAGGACCCGACTCATTCGACTCCCAATTCTCCACCTACCGCATCTACCTCGCCATCGTGGCGCCCTCCTCGAGCAACATCCCCCACAGCCTGGAACCCTCCTGCTACCTCGTCAACGCGACCTCGATCAACGAGACGTCCCCCGAGATCCTGATCCCGCCGTCCGTTGGCCAGGACGGCACCTCGTACAGCATCGTCACCATGGAATACAGCACGGATCCACACGGCGCCCGACCCTCAGGCTACGAGTACTCTACAGAATTCCAACTGCTCAACACCAGCGGGACATGGACCCGAGCCGAGATACACGGCGTCGTGCCCCTGTTTCCCGACCTTCTGCCCTGCACCGCGTACGATTGCGCCCGCCAATGCATGCAGACATACTATCCGGGAAACGTCAACGGGACGTTCGGCGAGGCCGGGTTTCGGGACACTTATGTCTGCGTCGCGAATTGTTCCGGCGTTGCGTATCCGCCGTGGGAAGCGATCGAGGCCGAGGGCGCTGCAAAGAATGATCCTTTGGCGGGCGCGGGCAATGAGGGTGCGCAGACGATAATGCCGGCGTATGCGAGTCTGTTGACGAGTAATCCGCCGACGCCGACGCCGACGACGACGTTGGTGAATTCCACGATGACGGTGCTGCCGACGACGACGACGACGAGTGCGAGTCCGACGGCGACGGGGAAGAAGTCTGAGGGAGCGCGGGGTGGGAGGTCGACAGGGGAGATGATGGGGATGTTGGCCTTGGTGGGGTTGGGAGTGGTGGCGCAATTGGTACTGTGAGCTGAGCTGAGTGAGTTGAACGAGAGCGGGCGGTAGGAATGAAATGAATTTCACGAGATTTTAGAATAGAAGGGAGGTATCTAGATATCTATCATGTTTGGATTGAATGAAAAGTGGATATGGAAATGGAAATGGGAATGATAGATGATTTTCTGCTGAGCAGTCTAGAGATACGTAAGGTAGATATGGTTCTTTTTTAACACGCCGCATTGCGTGAACCTCCCTCGTTACTCCCAAGGAAAAGAAATATATGGCTTAGTGTACAAAAGCAGAGTACCCTCCCGCCACGGCGCCCCCCCTAACCGCGCATCTAAAACCAATCGATGGTTATCCTCAATCCCAGAGCGTCTTCCTCCCCGTCACCAATCGATGTAGGCACGCGCACACTAGAGCTTCATACCCAGCGCCTTGTTCACCTTCAAGCTCTGTCGAATACTCAGATCGAGCATGATCTCCTCGGAGCCACCAGGGATAGCATAGGCTCTCACATCTCGGTAGAGGCGCTCGACCTTGCCGCCCTGGCCACCGCGAGAATAGCTCAGGCCGCCGAAGATCTGGCTCGCTTCGCGGGCGCAGTACTCAAAGGTGGTGGTGGACTGGGCCTTCAGGCTGGCGATGGGCCCGCCGAGCCGGAACATGGCTTCCGTCTCGCCCATCTTGGAACATTGGTAGATGATGGCTTCGAGCCAGGAGTAGGTCGCTTCGATTTGCCGAGCCATGTGCGCTAGCTTGAGCCGGATCACGGGGTGGTTGATCAGTTTGGTGCCGAACGTCTTGCGCTTGTGCGCGTATTTGACGGATTCTTCGTAGCAGACGCGAGAGAAGCGGATGCACTGGATAATGATTCCGATACGCTCGTGGTTGAAGTTGGTCATGATGACTTTAGGGGGTGTTAGTTTCGTGGACTTAGGGGGCAGGAGGGTCTGAATGGGGGAGGGGAAGATACCTTTGAAACCCTGGTTCTCCTTTCCGATGAGGTTCTCCACGGGGACTTTTACATCCTCAAACGTGACATACGTAGTTCCTGATGACCACACACCCTGGCAGTCCATTTTCCTCGTACTCACACCACCGAACGATCTCTCGATAAGCAATACGCTGACCCCGTTCATCCCATCCTTTCCTGTCCGTACAGCAGTAGTGAAGTAATCACTCCAGATTCCGTTCGTGATCCACTTCTTCTCGCCGTTCACGATATAGTACTTCCCATCCTCACTTAACTTGGCCTCACATGTCAAATTCGCCACATCACTGCCCGCATCCGGCTCCGTGACCGCAAGACAGATCCTCTTATCACCGTTCAAGATCCCCGGCAAGATCCTGTCTACCAGGGACTTCTTCCCGAACTTCACCAGGGGTGGGCACCCGATACCAAAACCTCCGATGACGTTCCAGACGAAACCGCCAGACCCGGCACGGGAGAGCTCGTCGGTGAGCAGCATCTCGTGGAAGAGATCCCATTTCTCGGGCGGTACAGCGGCGACCCGGTTCTCTGTGTATTCCGTGGGGTAGTGCATACCCAACAGCCCAGCCAAGTATCCTCTCTTGCCCATCTGTTTGTAGATATCGTCGGGGACCTTGCGGGCTTCGTCCCATTCGGTAACATTGGGCTCGATTTCAGACGAGACCCAGGCGCGCACCTCGTCGCGGAGAGCCGCATGCGACTCGTTAAAGTAGGGAGAGTGGTACTGATTACCAATATATTAGTTGCTTGCAGAACCAACAGCGGAGGGGGTAGAGACATACGCCCTGATACCAACTAGGATCCGCAAAGGGAACCAGATCTCCAAACGGATCCAGCGGCTCGTCGTCGTCGTCAGCCGCAGCTTGCGCGGGCGCAGGAGCCACAGCCTTGCTCGCCGCGGCGGGCTTTGCAGCAGGTGGAGAAGGCGGGGGAGTCGGCAGTGCGGCGGGTTTCTTAGTATCGAGCGAGCCAACTTGGAGCTTTCCCTTGTACTTCTTGAGGATGCCCTCGTTGTGGTATTTCCAGAACTGCTGGCTGGCGTCCTTGCCGGCTACGCGCGTGAGGATCTTCTTGCCACCTAGACAACGGCGACATCAGCTCGATCCTCGGGTTCGTGCGAAGGGAAGGGCAAATACCTGGATGTTCATCTTGGAACTTGGTGAGGTCGTAGACGTCCTCGTCGATGATGATGTAGAGGTCGGCGGGCTTGTTATGCGATGCGACATCGCCCTTGGTGAAAGTTTTGGACATGGTGAAGGAATGAAGAGATCAATCTAGTGCACGAAACGAACTCCACTACTCACTCCCAGAGACTCTACAAGTGTTGTCGAGCAGAGGTGGAAGGGCAGAGGTATTTGATGTAGAAGAGAGGAGGCGGTTTCGGTGTTGTCGGCCGTCGCTTTCACATGTCCATCCCGTGCGTGTTTCCCCGGTGCAGGTGGCTTACCTTACTCGAGTTGGCAGCACATCCCGCTCTCCCCACACGACTGGGGATCATGTGCGCCGCTGGACTTGACCATTGCGCGGGCCGTGATTGGTCGGCGGAGACCAAAAGGGAGGTGTGTTTTGCATGTGAAAGGCGGTCTTCTTGTGGACTCCTGACGGCATCATTTCCCGGGTCGCCTTCTACAATAGTAATCCTACGTAAGGTAAGGTTCATTGTATGTTTTGTATGGGGCTGGAGATATGACATGACCACTGATTACGCCGAGGCCTTTTGAGCCGAGGCTTCTTTTCGGATCATGTGATCTCTGCTGTGGAGTAAGATTATCCCGGAAACCGGAAAAGGCCTAGCCACTCCTGCATGGTCCCTTGCGCTCTAACCTGCTTGGTCGAGGGCAGTGGCAGCTGTTGCACATCGCACCTTTCAGCAGACAGGGCTGCTTGGTTTTGTTGCATGTCGCAACCCAACAACGTGTCTCTGCGCTTAGTGCGACGTCTGTACTAACTTTAGCTATCGGTCCTGTCTTGTAACAAACGACGCTGCTGTGCCTACCCACTACAAGTAATCAAGTATCTTATGTATAGGATGAATATAAAACAAGTCGACAAGCCGCTATGGCCATGTGGGAACAGCCGCAATCTTTAGCTAGACATAGGCAATCCAAGCACAACCGCAGACACAAATCGCGTGTCCATACAGTCTCACCATCTTTGCTACTTGCCTATTCACTTTAAAATAGTCATCGAGCTGTAGTACGCAATCAGTCTCCTTTCGAAATACAACACCATGTCTATCGTCCGTACAGATCTCGAACATATATTGTGGCACGCCGCGAATAACAATCCGGAATGTAGACGACCATGTTCTGGGAGCACAAAGTCAATGCCATGTTTACTGCTAAAGAGAAGTATGCTGTTGCTTCACAACAACCACTGACTGACAAGCCCGGGAGTCTTTCGAGTTGATTGTGGATAAATTGGCTGGCAATTCAATGATGCACAGACTATTTGTTCTATTCATCTTCGAGGCAAAAAAGAGCAACGCATCCCAGGCCGAACTCGAGGAACTGGAATGGCAGGCTTCCAAGCGTGCATGGCTCACTTGATATACACTCTTGCTTCTATATGTGCGCGCTGCCACTCGCCAGACGACATAATAACACTGAGCATTGTGAAAGTACTGCATTGTGATCTGTCTAACTATCTCCCCTGTAAAGCTTCATCCGTTCGTAGGTACACACCGGGGTTTGCCGATTTCTCGCTTGCCTGCCATTGGGCCACTACAAGATGGGACGTCTGCCCGCATCATCGTCTTTCGGCATCGCATCGCGTCTCCCCCGCGGTATTCTGTTACAGTATTTCCCTTTCGAGACACCAACAAGCATGTCTCAACCAGTTCCGGGATGGGAATCGACGCCGGACGAGTTGTTGGAGCCCATCGCGCAGCCGCCGCCCCTCGAGCGGCAGCATCTTGATCTTCGCCGGATGGAGCAAAACGTGGAGAGATATGAAGTTCCGCAGGTTGCCCTTGCCATTCTTCGAGAGCTGCATATTCGCGCACTACCAGTCACCCTCGATCCTGCTGGAGGCTGGAGCCCCATGTGTCGGCTTGGCGCCTTACCAGGGCTCACTTCCCGAGTTCGAAGACGATCGCCCGTGGCCCATCTACGCAGCGCCGAATATGTTTAGGGGCCCTTCTATTATCCACAGTACCGAGGCGCTCTGGCTCCTTTTTGGGAGATACTTGGCAAATTGTTCGCTCTATATCACCAAAGGCATAGGAAACTGGGAATACGCCGGGTGAGTCGAGCCCTGTTTATTTATGCCTGTTATATATTACCTAATTAACTAATACCCCTTCTTCTGCATAGCGTATACGCATATCACTTCACATATGAGCTTGTTGAATGCTCACCACGACCTGAGTGGTGGGTCGAGAACTTCTTCCATATTCCCGGTCACGAGTTTCCACATCTTTTCCTCACCATCGCCCACGATCTACTCGGCAACGATCAGTGTCTCTTGCGAGCTGAACTGCTCGCCATAAGTAGATTTATGGTTGACCGACTCGAGTCGGATGACTTTCGTGGGCACCAGAAAGCCCCAGTAAGAAGGCTTAACCTGCATCGTTGGACTGATTATCAGCTAACCATGCTTGCAGATTTTGCTGATCTCGTTCGCGCTGTGTACTTCCTCATGGGGCTCAGCGGGCCCTTCTTGTCCACCCAGGAGTGGACCATGGAGAGGAAGAAATTGTGGCGGTGTTTGGTCCCAGCCGGCTACACGGCGGTGACGGATGGGGCCCTGGAGGACGAGCGCCTCGGCATCGTGTATGCGATCGTCGAGACCAAGAAGACCAGGCGGCGGCATGACGGCAAGCGGATCCGCATGCAATAAACGGCCCAGCTTGTGGCCTGGATTATGTGTCCGAGCTGTCAATTGAACTCGACACCCAGCACGCAACCAGTAAGTCCTATCAGGGACTTTAACCGCGGTGTCGTCTAATATACTAATGCTCCCGGCACAGCTCCGTCGTCGTCTCGCAAGATCGCCACAAGGTCTGACCTTTGCGAGGCTTGGGGACCAATACCTCGACTACCTCCTCCATGGGCAGCATGGGCAGGTAAATCACCCTTCCTGCTTCCTCCACCTAGTGATACCAGCGTCCTTATTACCTTAAATATCATCTCACTATCATCGACAGTTTCATCAAGGTTTGTCTTAGTTCCAGCTCACCCAGTAATGCCAAATTATCAACTTTTTCAGATGTCTGCTCCTCAAAGAGTGGAAGAGGCCCCGTGGAGTGTGACTAGTCGAGACGATATGGAAAAATTAGGCCCGATTATCGAGGGCATCCGCCTTAGGGCGGCAGAAGATTGTTAACGCATACCGGCTAGCATTAATATACACACTCCTTTTTATCATCGGACTTGTCATCGTCCTTATGCTCGCCTTCATCCTCGCAGTTTGGATGTCCCGCACTCTCCTGTAGGGGGTCTTTTAGGGGGGGGGGGGGGGGGGGGGGGATAAGGGATGTTAAGGGAGGATATAGGGCCCTCTACTTATTGCTCTGCTTCGCGGGTAAGCTTCAAATAAGCTCCTTGCAATTAGTAGGCCGTAGGCCGAACAGGCTTGGATGGCTTAGGCGGGCCGCATGGTCAAGTCCTTTTATCAGCAGAAGATTGTGCCAGATGAAGAGGCGGCATACAACTTTAAGATGGCTAGCGACCGGGTAAATGTTCAACTCTTGTGTATACGGAATTTCTTCTAGAAAGCGACGTAAGCTAATACGTTGTTTGGGAGTAGGTAGGAGATCTTGTATTCAGAATTCCGGCTCCTCTTGAACTACGTGAGTGGCGGGGAATTTAGAAAGTCAATGAACAAATGGATGAATAGATATATATGGCTTTAGAATTAGTATATTACAATTTACTAGACATAATGAGATTACAATAATATACTTGAATGTGTCTTATGACTCTCATCAACATCCGGATCGGGTACTCCCACACAAAACTCTACACGATCGAGTTGCACTCCTCAGAGGCAATGCCTATCGTGAAGAGAGTTTCGGAAGCCTTGATGCAAACCTTCACCGGAACTTCCGACACACCCACGGCGCACACTCATCATATCTCCTTCCCTTAGGCCACGATTTTCTAGTATCTTAACTTAAAAAACTCTTAATAGGAACCGAATAGGGTAAGTCCTCAGAATGCTGGCGTAATATTAACTTTGTTCTCGTTTCCTAGCCTACCTAGGTTACTAGGTAGTACTTGCTTTCTTAAAGACAGCCATTCTTGAGAAACTTGTTCGATAGTGTGAAACCTTGTTTTACGCATATTGTCGCTCTAGATTCTGCTTCCCTTCTCTTTTCTTTTCTTCTTGTTTAACCGCAGATCTCCATATACCAGGTAGGTCTACATCCATCTCCACAACACTTTTCCATCAGAGCTTTCATCAGTCGCTCATCCTTAATCAATAACTAACACATTCATGGTAGAACCTCTCAAAAAAAATTGCACAACAAGATCATCAAGATGCCTAGGAGGCAAGTCCTCTTTCCAAAGGTAAGAGACGTCTTTACTCGGGCAGAAGCAGTCTGTTAGATGCGATAACGCTCTTATATGTTATATCTCTTAATTATCTTAGATTCTTAGCTGGCCAATTCTAGATTCCTAGCTGACCGTCATCTCTTCTAGTCCGAGCAAAAGCGCAGCGGCCCTCGCCGCAAGAGATTTCTTGTGCCCCGCTCCTCCTCCCCCCGGACCCCACGGTCCCCACCCCATCCCTCTCCACCACGTGTCCCGCCCCAAACGAAGGTGAGCTGTCCTTAGAGCAGAATTGTCCACATGAATTGAGCCATTGCTGATTTCCCTGTTCAACTATAGCAAGCTTCGAATGGCCGCCCCCTAAAGCGTCACCGAGACGTTGAGGTACGTTATCTTTTGTATTCCCCTCTAAGCGCTCACTGGTTTTCATTTGTTAAATCAAATTGAGTGATTGATTGGCAATGATTGCCTTTTCATGATCATTGCCTTTGTTTGGGTAGTCCGACAGTCTAGAATAGTGATATCCTATCACTCTTAGTCCAGTGACCAGTCTCTATACTCATCTCTTCATATTCTGGATGGCATCGACCTTGAACGGGTTATCAAGTGTAGCACACAACGCGTGATCTCCCTCAATTGTTCATCTGCCTTACCTTAGGTCAGAAGTTAGAACCTTGAAACCCTTTATGAGCCGTATTCTGAATATTTCAATTTGTGTTATTCTAACTATTTGAATAGCTTGCCTGTGCCTTGGCATTGGCATTACTATACACCATTATTTTTATCATTGGTATCATCCTCGCAGTTCGGCATCTGTAGGGGGTTGGGGGGGGGGGGTGGGG